GTAAACATTAATTAACCTGACATATTTGGCCAACAAAACACCGAAACGACCAATTTAGCCACAAATAAACATCAAGGGGCCTCAAAGCTACATATAAATATCAAAGCAACCAATTTCGCCACACAAAAAACAACAAAGCGACCACTTTAGCCTCAAAATGTTTTTACCTCAGCTCCGTACTATATACTAATATATCCTCAGCTCCATAAATTGTATTTTGATTTAAACTTTAAAATATCAAAAGAATCACATTTGGTATGAAATAGAAAAAATACGTAACATTGCAAACCCTTGTGATGAAATAGATATTCTTCTCTGTATGTTAACCCCAGGGAGCAAGGAATAGAAGGGAGAGACAACTGACGCGGTTCGCCCTACCATATGATTATACATGCTTTGCAGACGAAGTACTTCATTTAGTAGAGCTGTTTGGTTTCTGTAGTAGGGCCTCACAGGAAAAATATGTATTGGCGAAACTGGTCAAAGAAAATTGAGCCAATACATATTTTTCCTGTGGGGCCAATAGCAATAAATGTTGCCAACCCGACCATTATGGAAGCCAGAATCAGACTAAAGTTTTAAATCTTCAAAAAAGTTTGGCGGATTTTTGTGATTAAAATTGCGAGTTTCCTATGATTTTTATCATTTTGACCTTTTGTCGTTTGACCCTTTGTCGCACTTTTGACCCTTTGTCGTTTGACCCTTTGTCGTTTGACCCTTTGTCGTTTGACCCTGGGTCGTTTGACCCTATGTCGGTAAATCTTGTATGAGCGCTAAGTTATTCGGTGTGAGAAGTCTTTAACAATTTTCTCCTTATAGACGCAACAGATAGAAGTAAGATTAGTAGCTATCAAAAGCGCTTTTTTTCGCATTAAGCCTATACCCCCTTTCATTTTTCGCGAACACTCCCTTTAAAATAGTTGCGCAAATGTATAATTTTGAAGAAGTTCTAAAAGATTGTTATCTTTTTGGTGGATTTTTATCTATCTCTTAACGAAAAGACACCTAAAAAACACCCTGTATTAGTAAATTGAATGTTTAAATATTTGATTGAATCCAAATTTACATATTGTGGCGACTAGTGACTGGTGAGTATTAAAAGATAAGAAGAAAATTTCACAATAATTAATAAACATGTTCACGACCAAAACTTCTTAAAGGGACTGTAAGCATAATTTCAAGTGAGCCTCGATTTCTGTGGGGCATAGCTGATTCACAGCAGAACCTAATTATAATATTTATCTGAATAAAAATGTGAAAGCTAATATGTGGTTTTTCTATCTGTCTTTAATTCTGAAAGTCCCTTCATTGTTTTACTTCAGTAGAAATGCGCGAACCATTTTTGTAGAGAACCCCAATTAAGTATAATTAGTTTTTTTTTAATTTTAAAGATGGATATCTAATTCATACTTGATCAGACAAAGCTTTTATACTTTTAAGCCGCTGTAAATCCTAAATCCTAAAAATCGAGGGTCAAGAAAAATAACTTTTACTTTTTTTGTCAATTCTATGATTTTTGTAAAAAGCGCAAAAACTAAATTGTTTTTATTATGAAAAAGGTTGTTTTCACAAGTTTTACAATAAGATCGACATTTAATTATCATAATCATACCCCATTTACAATTTTATGTAAACTCCCTTTCTATGTCAATTCTATAGAAAAAATATAATTTAAGTTTTTCCTTGATGATTATAATCCTCCTTTATCTAGAGGATTAAATGTTTGGATTAGGAATTGTTAATTTTTATTGTTTAATCAAACAAAACAAAACAAAAATATTTAATTTATTAAAGAAAAAAATTCTCTGGTAATTGTTAAATTCTAATTCTACATTTTCCCTCTTTGAAGTAATATGGCTGAGGATGGTTGGAGTTATAAATTAAATGTTTTTTTTTTCAAACTTTAAATTCGGACGCCCTTAGGAAAAAGTTAAATTCTGGTTCACATGTTAAAAGTTAAACTTCTGGTTCACATGTTAACAAGCTAAACTTCTGGTTCACATGTTAAAAGTTAAACTTCTGGTTCACATGTTAACAAGCTAAAATGTTAAAAGTTAAACTTCTGGTTCATATGTTAAAAGTTAAACTTCTGGTTCATATATTAAAAGTTAAACTTATGGTTCACATATTTAAAGTTAAACTTCTGGTTCACATGTTAAATGTTAAACTTATGGTTCACATGTTTAAAGTTAAACTTCTGGTTCACATGTTAAAAGTTAAACTTATGGTTCACATGTTTAAAGTTAAACTTCTGGTTTATATGTTAAAAGTTAAACTTCTGGTTCACATGTTTAAAGTTAAACTTCTGGTTCACATGTTAAAGTTAAACTACTGGTTCGTTCACATGATAAAAAGTTAAACTTTCTGGTGCACCCATAAAAAGTTAAAATTCTTGTGTGCCCATAAAAAAGTTAAAGTTCTGTAGTGCCCATAAAAAAGGTAAAAATTCAGGTGTGATAAAAAGGTAAAAATTAGGGTGTACCCACAAAACAAGTTAAAATTCTGGTGTACCCATAAAACAAGTTAAAATTTTGATGTGCCCATAATAAAAGGTAAAATGCTGAGGAACCTGTCACTAAAAGTTAAATTTCTGGCGCATATTTAAAAGTAGTATAAAGAAGTTTTGTTGTTTATGTGTATATTATGTGAAAGGAGCCCCCTGAGAGAGAAAGTACCCTGGATTCCGCTATATTTGGTTTGGCCCAGTTTCTTCATTATCTCACCAATTCTAAAGTATTTAACACTAACCTAGATACAGTGTTTTGATTCACTAATATATTTCTTAGTTGTTTGCTTAATTGTTTTATTAAGACGAATACGTGATTATTTCGTGTAGATTAATTGATTGATTATTTGAAATATTCTTATTCAAAAACTAACTCTGAACAGTCCTCTAATAAGAGAATTAACTCTGAATAGTCCTCTAATAAGAGAATTAACTCTGAATAGTCCTCTAATAAGAGAATTAACTCTGAACAGTCCTCTAATAAGAGAATTAACTCTGAATAGTCCTCTAATAAGAGAATTAACTCTGAACAGTCCTCTAATAAGAGAATTAAATCTGAACAGGCCTCTAATAAGAGAATTAACTCTGAACAGTCCTCTTATTAGATAATTAACTCTGAACAGTCCTCTAATAAGAGAATTAACTCTGAACAATCCTCTAATAAGAGAATTAACTCTGAACAGTCCTCTTATTAGATAATTAACTCTGAACAGTACTCTAATTAGAGAATTAACTCTGAACAGTCCTCTAATAAGAGAATTAACTCTAAATAGTCCTCTAATTAGATAGTTAACTCTGAACAGTCCTCTAATTATATAATTAACTCTGATTAGTCCTTTAATTAGATAGTTAACTCTGAAAAGTCCTTTAATTAGATAGTTAACTTTGAACAGTACTCTAATTAGAGAATTAACTTTGAACAATCCTCTAATAAGAGAATTAACTCTGAAAAGTCCTCTAATTAGAGAATTAACTCTGAACAGTCCCCTAATTATAGAATTAACTCTGAACAGTCCTCTAATTAGAGAATTAACTCTGAACAGTCCTCTAATAAGAGAATTAACTCTGAACAGTACTCTAATTAGAGAATTAACTCTGAACAGTACTCTAATTAGAGAATTAACTCTGAACAATCCTCTAATAAGAGAATTAACTCTGAACAGTCCTCTAATTAGAGAATTAACTCTGAACAGTCCTCTTATTAGAGAATTAACTCTGTCGTTCGAAAGAAACTCTATACAAAAAATAGAAGAAAAAACAGTGCTTGAAAAGCAATAAATTAAAAAAAAAACTTTATCCTGAAAATATGGTTCAGAACCTGTCCAAAAATTATCGAATTGTAAAGAGATTAAATTTTTTCCTCTCTGGAAGCATCATCGTTATTTGATAGATGTATTACACTTAGGTAAATGTCTAATGATAAATTAAACCATAGTTGAATCTTTTTTTTGTCAGCTAACAAAACTAAAATTCTTAATTTCCTTATTTATAAAGTGCATGAATTTTGCAATCAACAAATACGTTTTTGTGTTTTATTTTTTATTAAATGGGGAACATTTCGTATATATTCTATTCCTAGGGATTACAGGGGAGTAGTAAACTATTCTATTCCTAGGGATTACAGGGGAGTAGAAAAATTCGCCATTTTGAAGCATTCTCTAATTTTCGCGGATTATTCTATTTAGAACAATTTGGCGCATTTAAAAAAAAATAATTTCGACGTTTTTTTTCGATCAAATGTTTAATATTGGCGGTCTATAAACCTTGCCTGGGGTTATGTGGTTTGTCATACAAAATTTTGGTCCAATCGCATCAGCCGTTTTGACGTTTATTGGATAAAAGCAAAAAATCCAAATTTGTATACAGAGTCTTTTCTCCTTCTTAGTCATAGCTAGGGAGTGTCAGGGAGATATTTGTTTCTACACATTAAGCCTGAAAAGTGCTACTTCTTCTTTGAAATAAAACAGAATTTTTGCTGTAAAATTAACAAATTATTCATTTTTTTCAGTATTCAAAGTTAAGATTTTTGTCAAATAGCTGTGCGAATAATATCAGAGTCAGTAGATATATCTTTTTTAATGGGGGTGATTTTGTTCACATAATTATATTTTGCAAAGCAATCTTTTTCTTTATCTATTGCACTAACCATGCAGAGTAGTAGTACAAAAGAGTTCAGAATATATAGAAATAAAATTTTTTCTATCCTATATTTCTTTTTTATTTTAAAATTGTATACACTGTATTTCAACAAGCCAAACACAAAAGTATTTTTGATTTACAAAGGCAGTTTATGAACATACAGTTTTATGATATATTGTCAAAGGACCCAAATAACTTAAACCTAAACACTTCCTTAAGAATATCATGCAGCTTTATGCAGTTTATTGTGCACTGAATGTAAGCAGACGCTGAACTTAAATCTGCCTTTTTAAATAAGATATACAAGCTGAGGAGGTTTTAGCCGATGGAATTATAGTATAAATATATTAGGCCCAGGAGAAGCGAGTATCAGTCACTTCAGCCCTGAGTGTACCACGCTTATCCCTGTCTACACCCAGACTATCCTTCAAATCAAGGAATTCAAGTTTTTGAAGTTCCACAAGGAGTTATTCTTGCAACTTTATTTTTTTCCAAAAATAGAATAAATCATGTACATACTCGTAAAAATTAAAAATACTTTAGAAAATTGATTCAATTGAAATTTTTTTTTTACCTTTTTTTCAAATAAAATTGAATAAAATTGTGAAGAAAGGATCCCCTGCTGCAGCCGAAGGATAGATCAATAAAGATAGAAGTTCTGGAAGAGTAAGTTCTCATCATATTTAACCTAGTTGAAAGACCAAGGACAGTTCAATAAATCTAAAACAGTTCCATCAATTTTCAAGACTGGGTTGACTTTGATTTTACCTCACTAACTCACTTTTTTGTAGCCCTAGACAGGCATACATTGGAACTATAAAACCCTGTATTTAAGATGTAGTTAGCAAACTTCATACTGATTTTTGCGTGAAAGTAGTGTGAAGTAGTGTGAAGTAGAAGTCATCTTTAGATGTCTTTGCAATCAGGAAAGTTATTGTCTCTCATGATTAGCTGGATCTGGAAGGCATTTTTTCTTGCTACTACCCATATTTAAACTAATATGGCAAATCATTTACTTTTTGTATTTTTTATCTTAAGAAATCCTTCAATTCTGAGACAAAAACTGTTGTATCTAAAATCTGCATAACGCGCTTAGTGTGCTCAGACAACTTAACTAAAGTCGTCTGTCAAAGCCCCCCCCCCCTTTCTTACATTTCTTAATTAACTTTAGGTAAATTTCTCACTGGACTGGATTTAAACCTTGAATTTAGAAGTTTACACTGTAGATGACGAGTTCAATTGATGTGGCGAACCCTAACCAAACCAAAAGTTTAAGCCTCTGTTTGTTTAGATATATCCTGGGAAAGAAGAGTGTTGAGCTGGAGATAGAATATGGTATTCCTAGATCTCATCTTGTCAGGTATAGGAACTAGAGATAGAATATGGTATTCCTAGATCTCATCTAGTCAGGTATAGGAACTAGAGATAGAATATGGAATTCCTAGATCTCATCTAGTCAGGTATAGGAACTAGAGATAGACTATAGTATTCCTAGATCTCATCTAGTCAGGTATGGAACTAGAGATAGAATATGGTATTCCTAGATCTCATCTAGTCAGGTATAGGAACTAGAGATAGAATATGGTATTCCTAGATCTCATCTAGTCAGGTATGGAACTAGAGATAGAATATGGAATTCCTAGATCTCATCTAGTCAGGTATAGGAACTAGAGATAGACTATAGTATTCCTAGATCTCATCTAGTCAGGTATAGCAAGATAGAAAGAGTTGATTGCAAGCTTGGTGGCAAAGCTGAATCTTGTTCTATTTGGTTGCAAAGCTGAATCTTGTGCTAGTTGGTTGCAAAACGGTTTCTTGTTAAGTTGGTTGCAAAGATGAATCTTGGTTTAGTTGGTTGCAAAGCTGAATCTTTTTAGTTGGTTGCAAAACAAATTCATGTTCCAGCTGGTTGCAAATCTGATTCATGTTCTAGTTGGTTGCAAAGCTGAATCTTGTTGATTGGTTGCAAAGTTGATTCTTGACATAGTCATGGTTGCAAAGCTGAAACTTAATTTTTTGGTAGAAAAAAGTAATTTTTCACATTTTTGGTTGCAAAGCTGAATCTTGAAGTATCTGGTTGCAAACATGAATCTTGTACTAGTTGGTTGTACCAGTACAAGATTCAGCTTTGCAACCAACTATACAAGAGTACTAGTTGGTTGCAAACCTGAATCTTGTACTAGTTGGTTGCAAAGTTGAAACTTGATTTTTTGGTGGAAAAAAGTAATTTTTCACATTTTTGGTTGCAAAGCTGAATCTTGTACTAGTTGGTTGCAAAGCTGAATCTTGTTTTATTTTTTGTTCTCTACCTTTCTGATTTCAGAGCAGTGAGTCAACTTAAGAAAGAGGATTTGAACAAAAATGGAAGAATAGGTAAAATATCATTAATGGTAAAATTTTTATTTTTTTCATTTAATAGGACAAGAGTTTTGATTTTAATCAAAATTGAAGTTTTGGAATATATTATTGAGTTATGATTTATGACTATTTTTTTCTTTAGAAAAAAAATATTTTGCATCAGAGGAATTCCAAAACTTCAAAGTTTCAAACTCAATTAAAATTGGCTACGAGAATAGAAATGTTTAAAAGATATCAAAATCGTTAAAATTAAGACTATGGTTACCATTGCGGTTTTTCGGGACACGCTTTCTTTTTCAATGACATTTTCTTGATATTGATGGTTGAAGACTATTTTTCCAAATAATTTAGTGTTTGAATCAATCAATGTCTACTTGTCAAAAATGCTAAAATGACCTATAAGAGTATCTTAATTTTTGTATTGTGTCATGAAACCAAGTGCGCTTTAAATGTTATAATATTATACTAAATGTTCATAAATCAGCCTTATCTCTGATATGCATGAAAAACAGTTGTAAGCTAAAGTTTAGAAGTAGAGAAGTTTAGAAGTATAAAATTAAAATTCTGAGGATTTTTAAACATTTTTAAAATACAGCAAAAATAGTCACGTTTTTTTTTCTGGCAAGATGAGAAATATTTAAATTCTTTTATTTACATTGACATAAATAATTTATTTTCAAAGGATAAACCAAATATGAATTAGCTGGTGGGGGGGGGGGGGGGCAGAGGGGGGCCGAGAACCCCCTCTGGAGATTTACAATAATCTAACTTCTGAAACCAATTTAAGAAATCTCTAAAGATTTCCCACTTTCAAACGAATGTGTTTAAATTTTTCAACTGAATATGTACATTTTTCAATAAATGCATAAACTTGAATAGTTCGTTCTGATATAAATTTAGGTGTTAGGTTCTTTCCCAAGGGCATTTTCCCAAGGGCAAGTTCCCAAATGTGTAATTTCCCAAGCAGAAACTTCCCAAATGTAAATTTATACATTTTTCTATATTTTATTAATAAATAACAATTAATATATTTAGAATACAGCGAGTGGACCAGATTCTATCATAAACATCTGAAGGAACATTTATTTCAGATCATTTAAAAAAGTTGAAATTATAAATTTTGATAAGTTAATATAACAAAACTTCATTAAACAGAACCTTAGCTAGAAATTTTAGAAAATTTCCAAAACTTTGCATTTCCATTTCTCTTCTCACTTCTATCAGACTATCCCCCCCCCCTTGATACAGGTAAAGTTTATACCATATTTAATTCCCCTGTCTATTATGATTTGATAATTCATGAAATACCAGGATGCAAACTCTCTGATGCCTGTAGTTCAATGGTTAATTTATCAACCAACCTACAGCTGTAGACCACCACCACTAGTTCTTGTTTTCCTTTCTGTATTACAGGTATATGAAGTAAATGTACTCTATACTGTAGGTTGGTTAATTTATCAACCAACCTACAAGCTACAGACCACCAACGCTAGTTCTTGTTTTTCTCTCTGTTCTTACAGGTATATTCAGTGCATGTGTCCTATACTACAAGGGGTTTGTTAATTTATCAATCGACCTACAGCTGCAGACCACAACCTTTAGTTCTTGTTTGTTATCATAAAAAACATAATTCTTAATATTCAGGTTATTTGTTATGTATGGCATGCCAGTTACATAGCAAACATTGTTGAAGATTCTAAACTGGTTGGTCAGGCTGCAACCTGCTCATATCTTATATATAATCCTAACAAACGATTTGAGGTCAGTCATAGTAAATACCTGTGGGCGCCACAGGACTGTGGAATAGGAAGACGGCTGTAAGACTCAATTTATGATTTTAAAAAGTCCAATCTACCTTACACAATACACATAACACAGCATTGTTGACTGGTATAGTACAGTACTGTACGGTACAGTACAGTACAATGATACAAACCAATTTCACTTAAATTCGCCATTTTGAAGCATTCTCTAATTTTCGATTAAAAAGAATTAAAGTTGCTGCAGTGTAGTGACAAAATCTTGAAAAAAAATCTTTTTCATGTTTGAATTATTTCGGACTTTCGTGATTTGTTATTGCTTGATAAGCACTTCCGGATAAAAAAGAGCAGTAGTTCAGCTTTGCAGTTCAGCTTTGCACACCTAGTTCAGCTTTGCACACCTAGTTCAGCTTTGCAGTTCAGCTTTACACACCTAGTTCAGCTTTGCACACCTAGTTCAGCTTTGCACACCTAGTTCAGCTTTGCACATATAGTTCAGCTTTGCACACCTAGTTCAGCTTTGCACACATAGTTCAGCTTTGCACACCTAGTTCAGCTTTGCACACCTAGTTCAGCTATTTACTTATTAATTTCTACTTCATTGATTTGTTTATTTAGGCGTGGAGGTTTCTAACATATCAGTTTGTTCATGTAAACCTTGAACATATTGTGTTTAATACATTGATGCAGCTTGTCGTTGGTCTTCCTTTAGAGATGTCACAGCCTGGGGTCTGGGGGACACTCAGGTTATACAATTATTTCCATTCTTTTAAAGGACCACTGTATTCATGCTTTGTTTTGATAAGAATAAGGTTCTTAGTTCAGATGGTCTGAACAGTCTAAACTCAACTTTGTGCACATCGGAATACGAGCGGATGTCAATAAGTTTACATATAATATCTGTAGTCTGTACTCGGAGAACACATAAAAGTTTCAAGGGTACCGTTGTAAATCGGGCATTGTTCTCTTTGCATGGAGGTTTACTTAAATTACGCTTACAGTCCCTTTAAATTTTTCCTGTGTTATGATAATTATGCCAATTTTGTGAAAACTCAAAATTAAAGTTTTGAACGAAAAGGAAAAAGTTCTAAAAAAGAGTTTTGAAGAACTTATAAATGTTTAGAGTTGTTATGGTTTACTTTGCTGGAGTCGTCTTAGGTAAGATTTAACAAACTTTTATCTGTTTTTATAAATACTTTTACTTTTCCAGTGTTGGTATTGTTTGACTTATGAGTTTGAACTTTTTTGGAAGGGGTTCCTTATATTTTTGTTTTTAAATAGCAAATAAAAAAGAACAATTTTAGGATCGCTAAAAGGATCTCTCCCTTCTCTTACCTCCTACCATTGTATATGTCGCTAGGATTGTGCAATTTTAGGATCGCCAGGATTGTATATGTTTAGGATCGCTTGGAGGATCTCTCCCATCTCCAACCTCCTACCTAGCAGGTGCAAGTGCTGGAGTTTATGCACTCATAGGTTTGTTTAATAATTATATTCTTAATGATAATAATATTTTTATTTATTTCACGGAGATCCAGACAGTTTCGAAACGTATGCATCAAATGTTGAAACTGCGGCGATGTTAAATGTCGGTTGCAACTAGGTCGCAACGTCTTGCACATAGATTTAGTCTGCTTATATAATTTTTTAAGATAGTGTCGACTTTGAAGTCTCGCAACGCCTTGAGCTTTAATATTACCGCTCTTTTGTAGCCCTTTATAGGGACATTTTAAAACTGTAAAGCTCTTGTTGTCAGCTTTGGTTTTCAAGAAGTAATTGGCAAAATTCTCATAGATTTTTGCTTAAAAGCCTGATACCTTAAAATCACAGTGCTTGACCATTGGTTTAAACTTTTATATCACCAACTACTTATATTTTTTTGTACAGTTTAAAACTGGACCCTGCTAGTTTCTAGTTTCAAAAGTAATGAGTAATTGTAAAAATCTTTATCATTTTTGGGATAGTTAGAAGTAATTTAACTACTGAGACACTTCTATTGAATTAAAGTAGGTTTTACTATTTCTCGTTATAAAATCTGGACCCTAAACCCATTGTAAAATGTACATATTTAAATCTGGTCATTGGACCCTATCGTAAATATTTAAATCTGGTCATTGGACCCTATCGTAAATATCTAAATCTGGGCCCTGGACCCTATCGTAAATATTTAAATTTGGGCCCTGGACCCTATCGTAAATATTTAAATCTGGGCCCTGGACCCGTATGTACATATTCAAATCTGGTCCCTGGACCCTATCGTAAATATTTAAATCTGGGCCCTGGAGCCTAATGTACACCATTAAAACCTGGTCCCTGGACCGTATGTAAATATTTAAATCGGGTACCTGGACCCTATCGTAAATTTTTAAATCTGGTCCCTGGACCCTAATGTATATACTTAAATGCGGTCCCTTGACCTTAATGTACATATTTAAACCTGGTCACTAGACTTTAATGTACATTATTAAATCTGTTCCCATGGACCCTAATATACATATTCAAATCTGGGCCCTGGAATCTATTGTACATATTTAAATCTGGTAAATGGAATCTATTGTACATATTAAATCTGGTCCCTGGACTCTAATGTAAATGTTTAAATCTGGTCCCTGGACTCTATTGTGCATATTTAAATCTGGGCCCTGGAGCCTAATGTACACATTAAAATTTGGTCCCTGGACCCTAATATACATATTCAAATCTGGGCCATGGACTCTATTGTACATATTTAAATCTGGTCCCTGGACTCTAATGTACATATTCAAATCGGGTCCCTGGACCCTAACTTAAATATTTAAATCAGCTGCTCACCTGGCGACCCTTGTTCTGAACTGGAAAGAAGATGGCGCTGTGTTTGAAGGAAGAAGAAGAAAGTCCAAAGCAGTTTCTCAATCATTAAACCCGTTAATCAGGTAAATTCTTTCATTGGAACTTATTAAAGGGATAGTTCACTTACTTAAAAGAAAAAATACGGAAATAAAAAAATTAGGAATATAAGCATACAGGGTATACAGGGTACCCCACAAAGAATAAGACTTCAGAGGATTCTATTTTACTCAATGCTTCCGTGCAAGAAACTGTACACTTGTTTCTTTGACAAAACATTAAAACAGATTGGAATAAATTCAAGCTTTAGCTGATCGTATTTACAGAGCTTTAGGTCGTCCTTACAGACTCATCCTTACTGCTCAGTGCAAAAAAAAAAAATGTTTAAATTTCAGAAAAAAAAAACAATTTCTACGATCATTGATCATTGAGTATAATCAAAATCTTTAAGTAGAACAATGTTAAACTAAGTTTTTATCAGTGATCATTAAAAAAAAAATGAAAATAATTCCTACTTTCTAATTTCCCAAACAATTTCCTCAAAAGGAGTATTTGGAAAATTTAAAAATGGAGTGTCTCTTTAAATTACGATTACAATTCTAACTTAGTTTTTCATAATTAGCTGAGGCATTGTTTAAGCAAACAATACTTTCCTGCATAAGTTTAGTCTGGGACAGATTATTTGCTCATTTTATGACTTAACATTTTTCTCTGAATTGCTATGACGGCATCGATTGAAAGGAATCTTTAACATGCATGGGAATTCACACAAATATTTCTTCAAATAACAGAAATTTACAACCTATAAATTCTTTTGTTGTAATATGATTCATAAGTACATTATTGTCTAAAATAGTATTTGATGTTTGCGTTTTCGAGATAAAGAAAAAGTTCTTCTAAAAACTAAATTGTTAAACGAAAAAAAGAATTTAAAAATATCTTATTTTATCATTTTTTCAAACTAAAAATATATTTTCTATCTCATCAAATATCTGTAGATGGCAAATGTGCAACTACAGTGAGAACCAAAAATATTTGAGATGAATGTTTTTTATTTAAGAAATATGGCTAAAGATTGTGTATTTTGCAATTGCCTCAGCTTCAAATGTTCTGGGACTTTAAATAACCCTAAATTAATAGACATTTTTGACCCAAAACAGTATCCTTAGTTTAGTCTTATCTAGAATGAATGAGAAATCAATAATTTATTTCGAATTTGTTATGTTTTTTCAACTGTGACTTATCTTGGAAAGATTTATTTCTACAGAAACAATGGAGGAAGTTTGAAAAATAAACACTTTCAAGCTAGAAAACGCAATTATTTTCATATTAATTATCAAATAACGGGTAAATTAAGGGTACCGTTATGAATCGGGCATGTCACTCTTTTAAAAAGAAGGTCACTTGAAATTCCAACGACATTCCCTTTAATTTAGTTTGTTTAGGATTGCCCGTCTTGTGTTTGTTGTTACATTTACACTGTTTGATGTTGGATACGCGGTTCATAATCATTATAGTGGAGTTAGAACCAATACTGGGTGAGTATATATATATATAAATATAATCATTATAGTGGAGTATCAGTATATGTTAACTATAGGTATATGGGTATATTAACTCTTAACCCTAGGTATATGGGTATATCAACTGTTAACCCTAGGTATATGGATAAATTAACTGTTAGTCTTAGGTATATGGGTATATTAACTGTTAACCCTATGTACATGGGTATATTAACTGTTAACCCTAGGTATATGGGTATATTAACTGTTAACCCTAGGTACATGGGTATATTAACTGTCAACCCTAGGTATATGGGTATATTAACTGTTAACCCTAGGTATATGGGTATATTAACTGTTAACCCTAGGTATATGGGTATATTAACTGTTAACCCTAGGTATATGGGTATATTAACTGTTAACCCTANCATTGTAAGTAAACCCTATCCTCCTCTCCTTAGTTCTACTCCCATTGTAAGTAAACCCTATCCTCCTCTCCTTAGTTCTACTCCCATTGTAAGTAAACCCTATCCTCCTCTCCTTAGTTCTACTCCCATTGTAAGTAAACCCTATCCTCCTCTCCTTAGTTCTACTCCCATTGTAAGTAAACCCTATCCTCCTCTCCTTAGTTCTATTCTCATTGCAAGTAAACGATACTACATAGTTCAACTCTACTTGATTGTTCAGATTGGGACTGATACCGGATATTTCCCTGCATCAAGTTCAGCTCCCTGCTTGTATTATTACAATGTTACTGGAGATCCTTCAAGTTTCCAGGATCAATCACATTTGTAATCTTCAGTCTTAAACCAGGTTGTATAATAAGGTTTAATAGTTAATCTCGATACACTCCAATGTAAGGAAAATGTCGTCTCCTAAGATTAATAAATACCCATTACAAGTCACTGATTATAGAGGCGAGAGTAACGTCATATCGGGAATTTATCTATCTATCTTAGGAGACGACATTTTCCGTATCGAGGGTAAGTAACCTTATAATACAACCTTAAGGTCTATGAGAGATCGCACAACTATATAACATATTTTTAAATAGATTAAGCGCTTAATCGCTTCGCTGGATATTAAAAGTTACAATAGTGCGGTTATCGAGATTATGTCTTGTACAGGGTGTCCCAAAAAACATGGGAATTCAGTGACGAATTTGATATCGTCTTTGTTATGAATTAGCATTGTAATACCTAATTTCAAAAGCCATAATATTATTATGTCTGCTAGAGCTTATTTTATAAAAAGGGTAAAAGACTGTAAAGATGTGTCTATAATGTCTCCGCTAGATGAACAGTGAAGACAGACAAGTTTACTCAGTTTGTATACTGCAATTTTCTTGTTTTACTAAGTACAACTGTATGCAATCAAAATATAAACAAAAAAATGTAAACATAGCAGACGAAACTCTTACAGATTACAGCTTTCTCAGTAGGTATCACTACACTAAATCAAAGAATTATTTGAAAAGACGATATCGAATTCGTCACTGAATTCCCATGTTTTTTGGGACACCCTGTATAATTAGCGCCATCTTAGACAATAGTTTAGACCTCAGGTTTAATTGTTTATGTTTACAAATGATTACATGAAACATGAAACGATTACGAAAAGCTTAAAAGAAGGATTACTCACAAAGAATGAGACTGTGAAGACGACCAGAACTCTTGAAACATGATAATTCTAAGATTAAATGAAGTCGTCTGCCTCAAAAATAGTATTTCAATGGATAGTTTAATGATTTGGCACAGAAAGAAACAATTTACAGGGATTCCTAAATATAAGGAAACAGACTGTTTACATTCTGTAAAGTCGTCTATGAAGTTTTATCCTTTGTGGGTAACCCTGTACAAATGTATTTTGAGACACTTAATGGCCCTTTATCAACTATTTTATATAGTCTCTATAATCTTAAGTGTTTTAAGACACCCTTTATAGTATTCAACCCCGAAATGGAGTTTGCTTCCACGGATTTGTTTGTTTATACAGTATTGGGCTGATTTTTTTTACCGTGCTTCCATTAAAGTTGAAAAACATGCTTAACGTAAAATTAGAAAAGTTAAAATGTCGATTTTCATGTTCAAAATGTTTACAAATAATACAACTGTAATCTATCTAGTCTGATCATTATTAGATCTAATGCTTGATAATATGAAATAAAAATTATGCAAAAAGTTTTATTTTCATTTCCAGTCCTTTCTTCTCAAAAATTTCTTCATCTTGGTGGAAATGGAATTTTTTTTTTTGCTAAAAATTTTTCAACTTTTATAATTCGAGATGTTTATCTTTTTAAATATGATTTGCATCTCAGATTCTTTTGAAATCTTAAAAATTATAATGTTGTTTTTCATCTTTTATTTGGCACAAACAGATATATTTCGATTAACAATACTTATATTCAAAACAGAAAATTGTATTAACAACAAAAAAATATTATAATGAAAAGATATGACTAGTTAGTTTAATATACTATAGAGGTCGGAAGTAATGAGTAGATTTTCTTCTCCGACGGATTAAGAAAATTTATTTGAATATTTGTGTAGGTCCGATCAATTTGACACCAAAAAATCTCCTCTGGGCCAATAAGAGATCGTGAAAATACAATAAGCTGTGTTATCTAGATTAAACAGAAAATCGGTTTGAATCAAAAGTTTTCGTTCTGGATATAGAGTTGATACATAAGATTCTGATTGCAGATAGTTTTGGGGATTTCAGTTCAGGATTCGAAACAAGGTTGGGTCAAATGGAAGCAGAGGAGAAAAAGGAAAAGATTATTTAAACAAGTTTCTAAAAACAGGATGTAACAAATAAAATTAAGTATTGTATTTTGTTTACGTCCAGGGAAGATTGTTGCAAAATAGAATAGTTCCAATCAGAAAATACCCGAGGAAGTACATCATTATCCATCTACCCAGCTCAGTATCTATCTTCTCCTAAACATTCAAATTAAACTAAAAAAGCGCAGTTTCTTAACAATTGATTGAAGACTTGAATGTCGTCTTTGACATTTAAACTATTTTTCATGACAAAAATGACAAAATAACCTTAGTCCTACCAATCTACACAACGTGGTCTGCCTTTTTGTGTGCTTTCGGTATTAATGAAGATGTTAATGATTTCGTTCAGAATAAAACAATTTTTTTTTTTTTATAAATTAAAATCTATTTTAACAAATATCTAAATATCTCTGAATAGAAAACACAAAAATTCCGCTTATCACTGTTAACAAACTTAAACTTTTTCCGATTTACCTGGAACAAGATGGAGTCCGTGTTACTTTCCAGATTTGATTTACATTCAACCTGGATTAACAAACATAAGATTTATTCTTTAAAAAATGTATTTAACGCTACAACAAGTACAAACTGTTAAACATGGACAACATGTACATTGTACAATCTGTTAAACATGTACCTGGACATTCATGAAGAATATAGCAAACAGAGCATGCATATTTGTTTTGATATAAGCCTAATTATATTGAATGTAAATAGACTGCTAAATTAGTTTTTACAGACCTAAAATAGGTTTATTGTGTTTTGACAAATTCTTATTTGTACTGTGTATAAAATCCCTTTAAATTATGTTTTTTTTGACTTATTTCTTTGCTTAAACTTGATAAACCTTTTATAGATAAGATAATTTCAGATAATCTCTCTTTTTTAACAGTTCAGATTTGGGGTTTAAAAGTTTTTTTTTTACATTTTTTTTATAATTTTACCCTTAGATTGTAAAACTGCAAGTTTTAATTCTAACTATGTTTCTCTGTATGATTAATAATTGATGATAAAGATATAATTGGCCTTGAATCTGGGAACTATCTAGCCTGTATACCCATCATCAATTATCGAGATCCCTGGGTAAAAGATCGTAGAAACATCTAAAACTTCTAGAACCAGCTAGAAGAAAAGATGCACGCAAAGAATACGTGAGTCAGAGAACCTTTTCTCAAGAAAGTTCTAGAATAATTTATCAAGCAGCGCCAAAAAACAAGCGCAACAGCTCCGAGAATGTTCTAGAACAATCTATCATGGTTTACTATAAAAAGCCAGGAAAGACTCTAACTCGGGTTAGTTAGTTGGATTTGAATCCTAGATCTTTGCTCTCAGATCTGTATTTATCGTAAAATGACCCAGTGATTTTTGACGTGTATCTCTGAAGAAACAAATTGGAAAATCTAGGTAATAAATCATTTTATTTGTAAATATTTGTTTTGTCAATATCCGTAATTCGCATTTATCTATTCGTCCTAAACTGATTCATAGAGGTTGAAATCCAATAGTATTAAGTAAAGATAGATATATATATATTTTGTAAAATCAGATTGTTTATACTTTTATTCAAATATCGTTATATATTAAGTTCTATATTCGTAACCATATGTTCGTTTTAACTAATCATTTATATGATTAATATTGTCAAAAATTTTCCCTTGGACTGAAATACATAGCTAAACGAAAACCTCAGTGTTAATAATATATAGAGATAGTAGTTAAGAAGGATAGTAATACTCTTAAAACGGAGAGGAACAATATCTGAGTAGGATTAAAGTTACACATTTAAAAGTTCTAACCTTCAGGATTAAATAATTGAATAGTATATACTTGAGAACAAAAAGAGAAAGATAGAAATTTAGTTCATAACAAAGAAACCTTAAAACTCATTCAGAAATACTTTGTCCGCCATAAAATGCGTGGCAACATTTAATGCAGGGCTTATTGATTAAACTATTAAACAGAAATTCGAATATCTTAAGGCCTAAAAACTGTTAGAGGTTTAACCTTTGAATCCTGCATTGTTTGTTTTTGGGCGAGCCAAAGCTACTGAAATCTTCTTTGTGAAAACTTTTTATTCAAAACTCATCAGAAACTATATGATTTATTGTCTGCCTTCGTTTATTTATCTTAAACATTAAAAATAGTCAAATTGCGATTCATATCAGCAATTTTATAAAAGGTTGCTTATCATAAGAATAGGTATCACTTTTACAAGATTCGGGTCCGTGGATCCGCAAGTTTTGCGGATCAGGATCCAGGAAACCAAAATAATGTGGATCCAACTGAACCGGATCCTAAGAACTGGAGTGAAATGTCTATTTCTACCTTTAAAAGTATCTCTGGGTTGTCATCTTCACATAAAGGAACTGCTGGTTTATCCCATCTAGTCGTCATCATTGCTGAATATTAAATATTAATAATATTATAATTTTTCTTCTGGTCCCAAATACATCTTTTTTAAAGTCCAATATCTATTCTTTCCAATCCTGACTTAAATCTTTTCTAAAGTCAATATCTATCCTTTCCTAGTCCAATACCTATCCTTTCCTAGTCCAATACCTATCCTTTCCAAGTCCAATACCTATCCTATTCTAGTCCAATATCTATCCTTTCCAGTCCAAAATCTATTCTTTCCATGTCCAATATCTATCATTTCCTCGTCCAATATAGATCCTTTCCAAGTCCAATATTAATCCTTTCCAATTTCAATATCTATCATTTCCAAGCCCAATAATTATACTTTCATAGTCCAATTCTTATCCTTTCAAAGTCAATAGAGAATATAGAGATCCTTTCAAAGTCCAGTGCATAACCTTTCCTGGTCCTATCCCTGTATAGAATTCTATTGATTTAACCTGCTAGCCATGGAACTAAAGGACTAGCTGAGAAGATAAGCCGAGTAGCAACCTAGGAATAATTTTTGATGTTGTTATCATTATCATTATCATTATCATCAATAAAATCTCATTTCCCTGTTTTAGAATTATTGAAGGAAATGATATTTTAGTTCGACGCAGACCAATCCTTAATATCTTGATGGTCCAGTTAGCATGATAAAGTTAATAGTTAAATTCAATCCAATTATGCAGACATTTGGGATAAGTAACTTACAAGGAACTTATTACAAGTTCCTATATACACATTACACATGTAAGAAACAACCAGTATTTCAATTTTTGTGTTGATTTCGTTGCCTTTAAATCCTCCAAAGAAATTAAATAATGTCCGTAAACATGGTAAATAAAGATTTAGAAATAATTGTCAAAGAAAAGCAATTAAAATTACTAATGTCAAGAAGACAGAACTTTTGTGTTGTGAATCTCGGGATCAAACACTGATCTTGTGCACACCTAAGGATTATATTCCTCTTCGATATCCCTTAGTGTTAAACATGTACAACAAGTACAAACTGTTAAACATGGACAACATGTACATTGTACAATCTGTTAAACATGTACCTGGACATTCATGAAGAATATAGCAAACAGAGCTAGGAAGGAAGCATGTACAATATAAACAAAGCATTCTCGAGGTAGTACTCTAAAATAAAAACATATCTAATATGATCAATGTTTTATATAATTTTAAATCTTAAAAATATTTATATCTATATATATATATATATATATATATATATACTTTGCTTGTCTGTCTGTGATCCAATAAACTCCAGAACAGCTGGACCGATGGATCCCAAATTTTGTGTGGGGCCTTGCATGACCCCAGAGAAGGTTTAAGGATGCTCAGAATTACGATAAAATGTATCCAAAATATTATGATTTTCGTAAAATTTAAAGAATCCTCGCTAACATTGTAAATTTGCCAAAAAGTTGTATCAAAGAGAAAAAGCTATCAGATTGAACAATGACTATGAGGTTAACAAGGGTAGCCTATACTAAATGTAAATGTTGAAAGCTCGGGAAAGGAATTGATTACTCTCCTTAAACTGTAGTTTTCTAATATTCGAACCTAGGACCAAAATAAAAAAATAGCGAGAAGTAGTTTTACAACGAAAACTAAGTTGAACCACTTCACCTCATGATCCCCGATATCGCAGAACCTTGAAAATTCAAACTAGGAATTCTGCTTCATCAAATATTCAAAGTTTGAACTATCAAAGGTTAATTAAACCATGAGTTTGCAAAGATGTAGAAAATATAGAAAATTAGAGTTACAGGTGAGTAATCAGTTCCTTTACAACATGTGTTGTACTGATTTAACAGGGTTAAATGTACTCCGTGTGTACTGTAACTAAAATATACCTGTACTGTCGTACTGCAAGAATCGGTTTCCTAGGTATACCCAGTAGGTTATTATCCACCAAACCCAACCTCTTCACATAGTCCCAATGAAACCTAATAAATTAAAAAATACTAAAGGGACTGTCGGCGTAATTTCAACTGACTCTCCATTTCAAGAAATGAATGCTCGATTTACAATGATCAACTTAATCCCATCGCCTTGGAGCAATTATGAAGATATTTATGAAGTGTGGTTTCTCTATAAGAGTGATCAATGCAGCAGACATAAGGAACATTAGGAAATGGAATCTGTAAGAGGTACCAATGTGGACTTTCCAGACCGCCGCCAGGAGCAGGAAGCACCGTCCCACACCCGTTCAGACCCGGACCTTTAACCCCCATTAGTTAAGGGAGATCAATGGGATACATTCCAGCCAGTTGACTAATAGCATCATGTTCTGAAAGGTGGTTAACTAACCCTTTGTCGATACAAAGTGGACACCACGTTGTGGTAGAGCCATGGGTGTTTGGGCATCTCCTGCTTTAAGTCTGTTTAAAAGTCCTCCTGCCTTCTTGTCACATACATGCGGCTGAAGTTTAAACCAGGCTTCTAGGGTGAGCACTGAGCATACAGTTTAGAGACACCAACTGACGTTTCTGCTCCAAGACTCCTACTACCGCCACTTCGGTAAACCTCTTCTTCAACCTAGATTTGGGACCATCAAACAGATCGACTCCCAATTCAGCTACCAGGTCCAACACCATTCTCGCCCACGGGTCGTCATGTGCTCCGATAACCGCGTCGAAAACATTGGTTAGGATAGGATCGTGTTTTTTTTAATGCTTGATCTCCCACACATATAACGCTAATCGCTCTTTTATCTTGTCTTTCATTGGTTTGAACCCTGCTTCGATGTATTCTGCTACAGTGGCTGCTAAGCTTGGTAGTTGAAGTATAAAACGTGCTACTTGGTGTCAGAGGCTGTCTAGTCTTCTGATTACACTGTTAGATAGAACCATGGATTCCACAGCATACCGTACAGTATGGCTGGTACAGCACATCCTATCCATAATGTATGTGCTAATAGAGCTCGGTCTGGTCCGGCTCGTATGATGCCTATCATACGCCCCTCTCTTGCCTTTAACCTGTATATCTACTCCTAGGTACTTACCAACCAGGGTTGCTTAAAGGTCTGGTGTTCCCTGTTCTACTTTCCAAACCTGTTCTTCAGGTCCACTGGAAAGTATTATTGTCTTTTCAATAGACAGTTTCCTATGCAAACCTTTACAGAACCTTGATACCTACTCTAACATTCATTCCATGCCTCTCACCTTTATCCGTGAGATAAGGACTAAATCGTCCGCAAAAAACAAGGCAGATATTACTTGTCCGCTTCCTTCATGGCATGTCATTTTTCTCCAAGTCCAGCCATGTAGTGAAAAAAGTGGCGATAAGCCGCCTCCCTGACAGAGAAGGAAAATAACACCAAAAAAACGACGATATCATCCTCACTGTGGCTCAGATAAAGGCGTAGACAGTACCATTAGAGATCTAACATTTCACTTTATATATGAAGGGTCACTTGAAATCACGTCAACATACCATTTTAACAAATTTTTTAAAACATTTCTATAATAAAAAATTAAAATTAAATATCGGTCTCACCATATGAAGTTGTATGATGTAACTAGCACTATGGCTAGAACAGGAATAGCCAAGGTAAAGTTTGGAACCTGTTTAATCTCCCAGTACGCAAACAGTCCGTTTCCCCAGTACACACTCTACAATATAATAACAGGGGTGTATATTTTCTTGAAAACTCTCCCATTCATGAAAATTATCCCCCTCCCCCCCACAGAAAATCGGTATATTTGCTTGGCGAGAAAAATTTTCTTTTGGGTTTTATTCGCTAAATTGGGAAAAATCACTTTATAATGAAATCAAATAAATGTTTGGGTATAAAGTATCGACAAAAACATGATTCTTTCCATTGTAGCATGGACCCCCCTCACGGTGAGGTATTTTAGGGGGTCAAGGGAGGGGGGGGGGTGACTGGTTTTTGCCCCAATACTCCTTATAAAATGCATTTGTCTTGTGTTTCATGGTGAGAATAGACAAAATGATTATATTCTAATAATCTTTTCATTTACAAACATTGTATCAATTGTAGCTTGCATTGAATTATAATGATTTAAATTTATAATTACTTTTCCATGCATATTTTTATCCTTGAATGGATTCTGTAAATCCGCAATTTATTTAGATGTCGTCTTTGTTAAATCAAAATATTAAAAAACACACACATATACTTCATAGCTTTTTTACACGAAATTACAACGGTATAAGGATAATCTAGATATATAAATAGATTCTAACAACCATTAATCAAAGATGGATATGGGAGGATTATTTTTGCACCTGTATATAGGAGTAGGATATGGGAGGATTATTACTGCACCTGTATATAGGAGTAGGATATGGGAGGATTATTACTGCACCTGTAATGAATAAATGAATAAATGAATAAATGAATAAATGAATAAATGAATAAATGAATAAATGAATAAATGAATAAATGAATAAATGAATGAATGAATGAATGAAAGGATGAAAGGCTGAATAAAGGTATGTATGTATGTATGGGTGTATGTATGTATGTATGATGTATGTATGTATGCCTTGATTTCCACGGAATGATGGTTGATCTTTTATTTATTTATGAATAGATAAATGAATGAATAAATGAATTATAGAAAGGATGAATAAATGAACCTGGGGTTTGCTTGGTAAGCCTGCAGAAGTGAGTATAGCAGTACCACTGGAAAAGAAAGAACGGAGCAACACAACCCAGTAAATTGAAGAGACCAGGAATAATTGCGTCGCCGATAATATTTGCAATAGTTGTCGATAATTCAGCTTTCTCACGACATGCTTTCTGTAAATATTTTTTGAAAAAAGGAATTGAGTCTTCAACGCAAAACAGAATTTTCGAGTCCCTATATCTCAGCCACCTGATATTTCAAACTTAGATTATTTGACCTAGGGTTTCAAAGATATAGAGATTAGAAAATCTCAGTTTGTGGCAAAGACTCAATTCCTTTCTTAAAAAGATGTAGATTCTAACTTTGAGCTAGTTTAATTATTAAAATGAAATTTTTTTCAATTTTTTAACCTACTCTGAAATGATTTTTTTGAGGGATGGATTTTTGGGATTTAATTTTTTTTATCATGTTACTTAGTAAAAGATGTCTTTATCCAGTTAGAAAAAAGGTGAAAAAATAAAGTTTAAATTCATTTAAAGACAAAATCAGATTCAAGAAAAAGTTTTCCTTCTTTGAAGCATTTTGGTTTACCTTTAATCTCACGTAGATAATAGTCTCTGTGGCTACAATCTAAAATAATTAAAAAATGTTTTTAACTGCTCCACAAAAATCTGAGATGTAAATCTAATTTCAAAATTGTATTTAACACGTGATCAAATCATATTCTCGATAAGTTTGCCTTTATTACATTATGCAGATTTTTTTCTCTCATCTAAGATAATACCGAGGATACAATTTGGCCAAGTGATAAATGACGATCATATTTTTGTGAAGCAGATTAATCGTCAAAAAAACTCTAAATGGCTCAAACTCTGCCCATGATTAACTGTACCTTGAGACTATTGTACAGTATGAACCCAGCATTAAGAATTGAGTTAGATCTTGTAGCACTGGCCAGCAGAACACCAACACATGTCTTTGCACTAAAATAGTAAACATTGGATATTGTTTAAGCCTTTATTATTTAAACGAAAAATTGAAAATACATTTAAATATGTAAAATTTTAATTATCCTGTACTGTGTGGTGTTGAATAAATAATAATTTAAAATTTATAATCAGGGGGAAAACGTTTGTGTTGTTTTATATCCGTGATTACAATTCTTAGCTGGCTACCTTTACGATTGACTGCTATTTATTTTAAAGCTCAAGCCTTTTCCTTGGTGGAATTCAATCTGTTTCAACCAAGGAGAACTTTGATTTGAAAATTATCATTGGGGCTCTCATCTATACAAATACTTTGCTAATTTGTTTATAACCGATATACGTAAAAACGGATGAACCGATCTTGCCAACATTTTTTGTGGGACCTCACATGACCCCAGGGAAGGTTTATGAATGCTCAGAATTACAAAATTTTGTCTCCAACATTTTTTGATTTTCGTAAAATTAAAAAAAATCCACGGAAAAAATTGAAAATCCGCAACTTTTTATTACTGTTTATCAAAGAGATAATGCTGAAAGATTGAGCAACAATTAAAAGTTGAAAATGGGCGCGAAGCGTCCCTGTTAGCCTAGTTTGTTACAATTTACCAAATTTTCCGCCTCGTTAATGGGCCTGACGATGCCAGGAATGGACATATTCCCCTAATTTCAGACGTTAAACCCGTCAGCTTTAAAGTTTATCCGCTGGATATCGAGTTGAGCGAACAAAGCGATATCCAATATTTACGGTTTGCTCTCTGGTATAAACTTAAAAACAAAGAATTTTACCTGAGATTTTTAGATATTTTGTATAATGAGTAGAATGTGAGCATCGAGTTTAAACTCTCAGAATATCCAGCTGTGAAGAATATACTCCCTGAACAGTCAAACATTAGAGACATACATACATACATACATACACCCATACATACATACATACATCATACATACATACACCCATACATACATACATAGATACATACAAGCATACATGCATTCTAATTATAAATTATAAGTATAAAATTGGAAAATCTACGAAATAGTTTAGTTATACTTGTTTTATAATGTATAGAGAGAACAAATGCTTATCGCAGGTAAAGCACCATTTAAGAGCTCCAACAAATGATAGAATTTAGTAAGACGCGCGCCCCGAAGTCAGAACTTTTGTGTAGAGTAGAACCTAGCGGTATCAAGCATAAATCTTTATCTTATGAAGACATACGGATCACACGATATTCCCTAGTAGTCATGCCCTACAGGGATAGCTTTCATTCTTATATTATAAAGTGCACACACATTGGAAATCAAGATCACGTGTTCGACGTCTGGAAAATATTTTATTGATTACATAAAAGGACTGTAAACGTAATTTCATGTGACCAGGCATGCAAAAATTGCAATGCCCGATTCACAACAGTACCATTCAAATATTTGTCTGATAAAGTATGAATTAGATATCAATAATATTGATTTTGAAAGCTCATTATTTTCAACTGTGGGTTTTCTACAAAAGTGATTTGCGCATTTCGAAAAAATAAGACTTTTAAACCTAGAATAACGACATTATATTTCACATTATTGTTCAGATACTGGTATCAAGGGTACCTTTGTGAATCGGGCTTTGCCATGTTTGCCTGAAGTGTCACTTAAAATTACGCTTACAGTCCCTTTAACTGCAGCCTCCTAGCGTATTTATTTTTATAATAATATAAACTATAAACTAGAAAGAACTTGCCTGGGTTAATAGCAAAAAAGAGTCCGGCCTGCAATAGTAAAATAGTTAATTCTAAAAATGGTGTGATCATTAGCCATTTCTTGAATTGTTAGGAAATTTTAAAATTTTTTAAATTGATATTTTTCTTTTCGAAACATTTTAAAAATCGTAGTTTTTAGAAATCCAAAGTTTATGAAGTTCTATGTATAATTGTCAAATCCACCTTATACGCTAGGTATTCATCTTTAAGAACCTTCCTAGATAATTCATAAAACGCATCAGATGCCAACAGGAAGAAACCTAAATAGTAAATATATATATTACTAGCTTGAAAACCTAGCTTTGACCCGGCAAACTAAGTTCTCCCTTATTATTGTCAACCCATTCAATACTAAGAATTTTTAAACCAAGCGAAGAACATTCCCATGGTTCTCCCGAATTCCCCAATCAAAGTTTGAGGCAAATCGGGCAAGGTGTTCAAATTTCAAAATCTACGTTAATTATTCATAGCTTTATTTGTCAAAAATGCAGAATTGGATGAGCTTGAATTTTAGACATGTTATTGTGCTAGCTAGGTCAGGATAAATATCGAGCTTCTCTTATCAATTGTAAAACTGATAATTCACCCAATTTAAAACTTTTGCTATAGATTTATAAAAAAAACATCTGACTTAATTTCTGGCTTGCATGAAATTCATTAGTTTTAATTGTTGCTTCTCTAAAAATAATTACTGCGAAAAAAGGAAATTGTCAGAATTGAACACTTTCTCAGATGGTAAAACAAAGATAGCTTTCACATTGTTGTTCAGATGAAGGCTTGTGAATCGGACTAACATTCTAGAAATGGAAATAAGGTCTACAGTTTCGTCAAGATAATCCTTTTTTTTAATTGAATTAAAAGTGTAATTACCTAAATTAAGACTGACTGCTGACAGTTTAACAGCGGTAATAAAACTAATTATTGCATACTCCTCCTGATAAACAAAATTAAATTTGATTTTGACTCAACAATTAACATCTTTTCGATATTAATAATATTTTGTTAATAACAAAATAATCAGTGATCGGAACTATTCCGCTACTTCCGCTGTGATGGTTTTGACTGATAGATTAACTAGTCGTAGCTGGTTCAACTACCTTTCGTTTTTCAATTACCGACTTATTTATATGAAAATACTTATTTTTAAAAATGTGATAATTTATTTCTCCCAAGAATAACTAACCTGCATCCAGTAGAGTAGATTAGCAAACGTTCTCACAATCAGAGGATACAACGGGAAGAAAGCTGAATAATAATTATCAAAAATAATAGTTTTGCTTGTGAAGGTCGCATAAAAGTGAACAATGAATATAAAATATCTTCCAAGTAATTATCCAGGATTAGTAAAACAATGGTTATAAACTGGAAATACTAAGATTAAATTTTAAATATTGTTCTTTACATTAAAAAAAATATTATTAAAGCTTTAAGAAAAAAAAATAAACGTATGGCCTAAATTTATAGCCATTCCAACAGGTTTTAACACTTTTTGAATGCTTATTTTGATAATTTTGACAATGGTAATTTATTAACAAATGTTTGTTTACCTATGTTTGTTTCGAAGGTATAACCATGCGTGGCAATGTGAAGAAAATGTTGAGCATCCCATCTTAGTAGTCCGTCAAATAGAAAACTCAAAATTCTGAACAAAGCAAGTTTTATTTCTCGTAAAATTGGAGTAATATTTTTTTGGATTTTAAGTGNGTGAGAATATCTTAATAATGTGCATATTATTTTGGCATTTTTTAATAAGCGGTATATTTTTCAGTGAATGATCAGTATGGTTACCTATCTAATACTGTAGGTTTAAGTCAAGGATCAGTATAGTTACCTATCTAATACTGTAGGTTTAAGTGAAGTATCAGTATAGTTACCTATCTAATACTGTAGGTTTAAGTCAAGGATCAGTATAGTTACCTATTTAATACTGTAGGTTTAAGTGAAGCATCAGTATAGTTACCTATTAAAAACAGTAAGTTTAAGTGAAGGATCAGTATAGTTACCTATTAAAAACAGTAAGTTTAAGTGAAGGATCAGTTTATCTAATACTATAGGTTTAAGTGAAGGATCAGTATAGTTACCTATCTAATACTATAGGTTTAAGTGAAGGATCAGTGTAGTTACCTATCTAATACTGTAGGTTTAAGTGAAGGATCGGTATAGTTACCTATCTAATACTGTAGGTTTAAGTCAAGGATCAGTATAGTTACCTATCTAATACTGTAGGTTTAAGTGAAGGATCAATGACCCAAGTGAATACACCAGGATCATGATCTGGGATCAGCAGATTACACACAAACTAAAATATATTTTAAATTGATCTTTTATAAAATTGCAACTCAACTAGTTTGATTTTATATCGAATAAAGAAACATTTAATAAAATTATAGATCTTCTGCTTTCTTGAAAAAAAAAGGGAAATAATAAAAATGTAAATCCTTTCTTGTCCATAGGGGCAAATGTAGCAATTTTTACATATTTTGTTGGTATAATCAATATAAATGTTTTAAATATCACTGAAACTATAATCAATACAAATCAAATCAAATCAAATCATTCTTTTAGGGACGTCCTACACCCACACACCAAAATTATCACTTAAACAATTATTAGATTTAACTTTTCCTAAAACATTTTATTAGAACACAGTTTTGAATTTATTCCTCAGTGCGTGAAATAATCTAAAATTGTTAAGGGTTTGTATCAAATACATACACAAATGCACACGTATTCCAAAGTTTTACTTTCTTAAAAATAGATCCAAATTATATACAAAAAAAATAACATTAAAAAGTAACCTGTAAGATAAAGATGAAAAGACGAGTGTAGAGAGCAAAGGTCCGAACTTTAGTTTTAAGTTTATACATCTTCAGTCATCTTAAAAACAGATAACATCTTTACCACAAGGTGTTCCAATAAACATGGGAATTCATTGACGACTTTCAAATCGTCTTCGATCCATGCGGCATGAACACTATTGAGACTTTCAAAATGTGGGCTACCAATTTTGTATCTTTAAAATTAATTTTTAATATTTTTATTTTTATCGGCACATTATAGTGGAGCTGTGATCTGTAAAAATTCTGACGAAGGAATCAAAACAGTATTATGCCAAATACTCCTTAAAAACTAAAACTATAAAGACAAACGCTTTGTAGGTTTAAAATCGTCAAGTAGAAGAGCTAAAAGTAAACGGTGTTGGGTAAGGTCAGACCAAGGGCAAACCTGGCGACAGTGTCAATAATTAGCGCATAGTTTTTATATCTCAATAGATAGCTAGGTGAGGACTCTTTTAAGTGAATAGACGGTATCTAAGTTTAAATATAAATGCTACAGCACTGATACTACCATGGTGTAGTTTGTAGTGTGTACAGTGTTAGATTAAATATTGATTATTCTTCTCTCGGAAAACACCGGGTAAACTCTACCACAATTATAAATGTCGTCTTCTATTTCAGTATTTTTGTCTGCTAAGCTGTCATATAGACTTGATTTTGTTTATAGGCCATGTATGATCTTTTCTAAGCGTAAAAACCTAATAAATGGATCAAAACAATTCAATGCATTCGCATTTAATTTGACAGCTAAGATTGTATATATGAAGAGGCGTACACAGGGAGGTGGGGCTATAGTCCCTCCCTGTATCAATGAAATCTTTGATTTCCAGACCCGAAGGGTGCTGACTATTTCAATTTTCTCATTATCCAAAGATTTTCCGCGGATTTTCTTGAATCATTATCGAAAAGACGAAATTTGAAGAACTTGAAGAGATCTGCGAATAAATTCAAAGAAAATAAGAAATTCAATATAATGATTAAAACAAAATAATTGATTCTAGCATTGATTTACTGACAAATTTCTTTTGAGAAATATGTTCCAAACCATCTTATATTAGATTAATGTATAATTTTTACTTTATTTTTCGTCGTCGTTATTTAATATTTAAAAAAAATGATTCCGAAAACGTATCAACCCCCAAAGTAGGAGTTTTGAACGTCGAATTTGGGCTCAAACTCAGGATTTACAGATATTTAAAAAGTTTAATGTGTCTCAAATTAATCCGAAAGAAGTTTTCCACAACACTGCATACTCAGTTCAACTACCTTACATAGCCGGTCACTCCCTTTAAACAAATAACTGATTGGCAATACACAATTAAATGAGAAAACCAAATATTCAAAGGTTTTGAAATACAAAATTGAGAAAAACTAATATCTGAAGGGTTTCGAAATACGTAATTGATGAAAACAAATATCTAATGGTTTTGTAAATACACAGTTGAGGAATAAAAATAACTGATGGTTTATAAAATTGTTAACTTTTATAAAGAAAAGTAAACAATTTTGCCGCTGAACAATTTTCGTCAAACATTTAGTACTTATATTAAGGTCAATGCTCGACCAAAGTACAAAGAGTACAAATACCTGTATGAGCTGAAAATCTCCCAAATTATCATATTTGTTTCTGAAAGAAAAAAAACCAGTGCATAATCATAAATTTTCTCTCTTTTAAACAATTAACCTAAGAGACTACATACATAAAAAATGCTTCACAGCCATATTATTGACAAAACTAGGATTTTGAGTCCGTCTTACTAGGTTCAGTGTCTTTAGTAGTGCTATTAGTCCCACTGTCGTCTTTCGAGATCTGCTCAGGAGTTTCCGCTGATTTTCCCGCGCTTTCTTCATTTTCGGAAACTGGTGGATTTTCTGAGTTTTCGGCGGATTTTTCGGAATCTTCGAGCGCCGATACAGCCGTTTCTGATTTATCGTATAGCTCTGGATATCCTTGCATGCAAACTTGCATATCTGCAAACTTTTCAATACAATCACTACCCTTAGGATCCGCTGTACTGTAGTGGAAACAGGAAAATGCCTCTCTAAAATTAAGAAAACAATTAATTTGAGAGTTGATTATTGTTTGTTTAAAGAAGACATTTAATGTATTTTAATGTATATTAAAAATGGTACAATAGCTTAAATAATTTATTCTTAATTAGGGGGTGGGGTGGGNGGTCAACAAATTGGATAGAGAAATAGTAAATAGAAGCAAAAAATAGAAAAAATATTTTGGCCACATAAAGGATATTTAAGTTTCTACAGTTAATTAAACCTAAATCCGGAGATCCATTTTTCCACAGGAAATGTTTATTAAAATAGAATAGATCTGAAACACTTCTTATAGGACAATTTTTCTTACCTGAATTCTACTCCACAAGGTCCAACTGCCATTCCGCCAAGACAAGGACAGTTCCAATTAATCTCTCCGCTGGGTAAAATCAGTCCGGGAGGTCCGTCGTCTTCCTTTTCTTCTAGGACAACCTAGAGAAATAAATCAATAAATCATTACGTCGTCTTCATTCTCTTCTAGGACAACCTAGAGAAATAAATCAATAAATCATTACGCCGTCTTACAATCTTCTAGGACAACCTTGAGAAATAAATCAATAAATCATTACCCCGTCTTCCTTCTCTTCTAGAATAATCTGGAGAAATAAATCAATAAATCATTACGCCGTCTTCCTTCTCTTTTAGAATAATCTGGAGAAATAAATCAAAAAATCATTACGCCGTCTTACTTCTCTTCTAGAATAATCTGGAGAAATAAATCAATAAATCATTACGCCGCCGTCTTCCATCTCTTCTAGAATAAAATGGAGAAATAAATCAATAAATAATTACGTCGTCTTCTAGAACAACCTGGAAAAATCAACCAATAAATCAATAATTCAATTTATCATCTTCCCTCTCTTCTAGAACAACCTGGAGAAATTAATCAATTACTCAATCTGTCGTCTTCATTCTTCTCTAGAACAACCTGGAGAAATAAATCAATTAATCAATCCGTGAACTTCCTTCTCACACTGCTAAAGGTGAACTTTCTTTAGACTCTTATTAATATGTAATGTACACAATCTATTGGAATGTATTCTATATTTTCTAAGGAAAAGCACTTATGTGATTTATCAAAGCTTTATACTACTGTGTTTACTAAACAAAATGAGTTGGCAGAAAAATACCAAGAAAACATTTATCTACTGTTACCCTAATCCTACTGATCTCTGATCAAAGATAATATATATATAGATATGCAGGCAGGTAAAAATTTAGAGGTCTTGAGAAAAGGTGCAAACAGCACCATCTCTGTCGTACGCATGGCATTTTATCCTCTGGATTGTTGCTAATTTATCACTTTGTTTATGCGTAATAACACTAAATGCGTACTATAGTATCAACAATGTATACTGCATATTGTACTTAATGAAACAAATTAATCAACGCAAATAAAACTGAGGTAGGAATTTGACTAGACAAAGTTTAAATGTGCAAGTTGTACTGAATGGCATACGTAAATTAACGCAATTTAAATAAAAATTATTACTATAAAAGTACATCGAATCTAGGACAAAGTACAACTGATCTAATCATAACATAAACAAAACGCGTACTGTATGTTTGTGTTACCTTGAAATTTAATTTTATTGGTAAAAATTGTTCATTTGGAGGACTCGGGCAAATTTCAACTAAAAAGTGTGTTTTTTGCCTATAAAATGTTAAATTTTAAACAGAATGAGAAAAAAAAGTCATTTCTGTTTTACTTTTTTTTTAAACAGTCTAAATTTTTAGATACGTGCTGAAAGGATCTGAACATTTAAACCAAAAAGTGCCAAATGGTCCTACCCTTAATAAGATTCTAAAACTAGAGCAAAGATCCTTTAAAATGGCATTTGTCACAAGTTTACCCTATTAACGGATTTTGAGTACTTTAAGTTATAAAACTGATGGTAAAATTATGAAAAGAAGAAATTTAAACATAAAGTGAGGTAACACGATAGACATCCGGCTGCCAAAGAGCCTCCCATATTTTCCAGACAGCAAAATCCTTAGCTGTACACTGTACAGTAACGAAGATCCACTATACAGCGGTCCTATAAACTCTTGGGTGATATGAACTACAAATTTTTTCTTTGACTTGGCATGAGAATACTACGTTAGATCAACGTTATTAATAGACTAGCTTCGCGCCCATCTTCTATTTCAATTGTGAACAATTTCTCTTTGTATACATTGTAAGACAATAAAAAAATTGACGGATTTTTAAAATTTAATTAAAAACGAATTTAATTGGCGGCTAATTTTTGAACTTCTGATCATTTATAAGCCTTCCCTGGGGTCATGTGAGGTTCAACACAAAATTTGGGCCCGATCAGTAAAGCCGTTTTGACGTTAATTGGATACAAACAAACAAGACAAGCAAAGTGAATACTGGGCTTTTAGGGTGCTTCGCGCCCATCATTTCAATTGCGAATATGTTCTCTTTGTGTACATTGTAAAACAAACAACACAAAAATTTCGCGGATTTACAAAAAAGAAATTTCATGGATTTTCAAAATGTTCAAAAATCTAATTTTGTTAGAAGCAACTTTTAGACAATTCGATCATCCATAAACCTTCCCTGGGGTCACGCGAGGTCCCACAAAAAATTTGGGCCCATTCGGTTCAGCCGTTTTGACGTTTGTTGGATACAAACAAACAGACAGACAAGCAAAATATAATTTAGATAGATCGTCTTAGAAACTTAAAAACTCATTGGTTTTGAAGTTTTATGTTCAAACTAAAACTTAAAACATTTTAAAAAGATTTTGGTTGCTTATTTGCTAGAAATTTTGGTTTTAGCAAAATATTTTTTTATTTGAATAAACTCCTATATGCAGGCGCATGCGCGGGCTGTCTGAAAATTCTAGGATAATCTAATGCTTCAAAAGCATCTGTACAAATATTACCCTCATCCTATCTAGATTTACCTGCTCTTCCTTTTCCGCCATTTTGTCTAGCTCCGGAGCGGTCATTTTGTCTGTAATAAATATGTTGAAGAAACTATTACAAGCTGGTAATTGTATATATTTATATAATAATCTGTAAACACTGTGAAATATAACAGAATAATTAATCCTATAGGTTGGCATCGTTACTATAAAATGGGAAGAGAAAATTTGAGAGAAACTTATTGCGGAAATATTTGGTAAAATAGTAAACTCGAAATCCGATTTAAAATTCAAATTTTTAACTTCTCTAACTTTAAGTATACAAAAAAATCTTGAGAAATGGTTTAATTTCAGAAGGGTCTAGTTAACTATTCGTACACTTGTAACTATTCATTAATTCCGAACTCGGGTTAAATCAGATGCCATAAAACTGTTTCTCATTTTTCGTTTTAATCTTTAACTTTACAATTTAGATTTTTATACTAACTATTCATTCTATACATTAACTAATGATAAATACAGAATTTAATATCAATCGAAATTTTTTTTTACAAATGTTAACTATAATTATGTCTACAATGTTTATGCTTAGTGTGTGTGCATTAAGAAAACTTGAATTATTGCCTTTCACAACTGAAAGTAATAATTATACAAGTACTCAAGTTTTAGATCTTAAGAGACAGTATACGGATTTGATAAAAGCTCTAGGGTCTGAAAAGTCATGGTGTATAACAGGAAAAGATCATAAAATACAAATTGTACTTTACTAGTACATAAACTTGAAGAACTAGGAAATGCAAAATATTAATTATAAACAACTACTTTACTTTACCAGCGGTTTGTGTGAACCCATAGCTAAATTTTTAATTTCCCGACACTATGTAGTTGTACAAAATTTTATCGTCTTTTAAGGTGAGAATTCGGGATTTTTTTAGAGGGATGTTATTTTACATAATTGATTTAAGGGATAGCATACCACTGTTGGGGGATCATGGGTTGGTAATACTGGTAGAAAGGCGTTAAAAGTATAAAACACATCTTTAATAAGAAATAGAAAATCTGCAATAATCTAGATTAACGTTTCTACAGAAAAAATTAACTAGATAAAAGAAATCACAAACATTTGCAAAAAAAACTAAAACTAAATCAAATAAAAAATATCAATTCGTGCAAATTGTGCTAATATACGGTAAACACAGAGCAAAAGTAAAAATATTAAATGCCTCAAATTTTTGTATCCATCAGTCGGTCATTTATAATTGATAGACTAGACTTGTACAGTCAGGTTTAAATGCCGGTCACACTGCTGAAAATGGACCATCTGGTTTCAAGTCAAAACACCTAAACTTTTTCTTCACAATATATAAATATGCAGTCTTCTGAGTTGCTCAACTTTCAGAAAATGCCACCAAGAAAATTTTCCGCAAATCCATTTTAAGATATCTCAGAAATCAAGTGCATTTACAGGTCTAAAATCAAACGTAAATTTCGTTTAAAGACTTTAATTTGCTTCTTCTGTTTTTTTGCGATATTTTTTAAACTGTTAATGGCAGGGTCCCCAAATGTTGTAACTTTTCATGAACAGTCATAAGACATATTGTAGTAAAAAATCAAACACTACGTCAACTGCCTGACTGATTATATACGGCCTGAAAAAAGTCTTTTTGCTTTGATTTTTCACTTTAAACCCCTTTTTAGGCAGTACTTAAACAGTCAAACAGTTCACTTATGGCTTTGATTTTTTGCTAAAACCTGTCCAACGACTGTTCAGAGGACAACTCACAAAAGTTGGGGACTCTGCCATTAACAGTTCGAAAAATATCGCTAAAAAACAGAATCAGCTTAATCAAGTCTTGAAACTAAAGATACATTTGATTTTAGACCAGAAAACGCACTTGATTTCGACAATATCTTAAAAATGAATTCACTCAAAATTCCCTAGATGGCATTTCCTAAAAGTTGAGATAATAACTCAGAAGACTGCATAGTGCATATTAATATATTCTGAAGAAAAAGTTTAGATGTTTTGAACTTGAAACCTGATGGTTCATTTACAGCAGTGTGCGGTAAAATTCTAACTAACAAATTCTTGATAAAAGGTAGAAAAAGTATAAAAATCATTTTCTAGATTGTAACAATTTTTTTTGATTTCAAGTTTAATTAACATGAAGAGAAAAATCTCTGATGTTGATTTGGCATAAAATTGGTAAATTTTACTGCTCATTATGTTTGTCAGAACGTGAGACACTTTGATAAAAAATATTAAACCAAGAAATATAATATTCTGTTCAAGGAAGAAATGAAATTTTGGCAATGTTTACAGTTCAGGAGAATTACTTGGAAGCTCCAAACTTGAAGGAATTCAGGATTTAACGCTTGTACAATAATACTGACTGAGGGGGGTGGGGGTGTATAATTTTTACACAAGGGAAGTTATTTTTGTAAAAAATATACCCTTACAATATCTAGAGATAACATCAAGATGTACAAGCCTAAGCGACTAATTTTTCACAATACAAAGTAAATAATAAATAAATAGGTTTGTTGTTTCAAGTAACCCTCTATTTAACGAGGGACATGTCCGATTCACAACAGTGCCGTTTAAATCGTTTTTTGAGAAATAATGTGGAAGATATCGTAGTTTTTTTAACAAAAAATATTTAAATCGGATATTTTCTTTCATAGTTTCTGCAACAGAAATGCGCAAGTCACTTCAAGGAGAAACACAGATATTTCATTCATTATTGATCAAAAAAAGGTTTTCAGGTTAACGTTGTGAATCGAACATGCCACTTTTTTAATTAAAGGTCATTTGAAATTACGCCTACAGTCCCTTTAATGAATGGAAGAATATCATTGAATTTAGTTTGGTGTACCCTGTATATCATGGTTCCAATATTTATGTACAGCAATATCTGTATAATGTAGATGAGGAAGTTATTGTGCATTTGGAAAGATTATGATTTGTACGAAACTCATTTCCCATTCTGATTTAAGAGTGCTTTGCTGAAGTGCCGTATTGTACGGTGTACAATATACAGTGTACAGTACACAGTAGACAGTACACAAAACATTATCGTTACTGAATAGTCCACAAGGATTTCTGGGACTCTATTTGACCCTCCAGAGTTCGAGACAGCCAAATCACGAACAACTAAAAAACAAAAATTAACTTTCACCAATATTATCTTTTTTAAGTATCTATATTCCCAATCTAAGTCTGTTCCCAACAAGCCCTGGGCACAGAGGCACTTTTTTAACCAATTCTTAAATTTTCTCTGCGAGTACCCCCCGATTTTCAAATCAAAAGTTCACATTGTAGATATCGGCTTAGCGCAAATCCAACCAAAAGTTCTGTCCTCTGATTACCTGACTAAGCGCTATCCCTATAGCTATTCCTCCGACCGGATAGAGGTTTCCCTCAATAAGCGCCTGTATTGCAGGAATACATCCCTCAGTGTTAATTTTCCGAACAACATCTTCTACTTCCTTCATCTCTTGAACCTGGTGATAGCTTTAGTTATGTCGAGTTTTAAAATTAAGTTGAAGATATTGTTCAGTCAGAATAAACGAGGTCCTTGCATGTCATGTCGCATGACATAAAGCATCCAACTTTTAGAGCAAACCTCCAACAAACATTGCTCTCGAAAATAAAAATGATAAAAACAGAAAATTGAACTTTTTAATCAATCACTCACTCACTCAATCAATCAATCAATCAATCAATCAATCAATCAATCGATGAATAAAGAAATGAAATATAAGACTAGGATCTACCTCGAATCCACACATAAAGTTGACCAGCACATCGTTAGGTTCCTTGTGACAGCAGGAATAGGGTACACCACATCTTGAATATTTTCATAATAAAAGGTCAGAAAAATCAGTGGACAATTTAATCAAAGGATCAGATTTTATGTAAATTAGTTTTAACAATAAAACTTTCTCACATTTAGAAAAAATCAAATTAAAAAAAAAACTAAAGAAATTGTGCAATAATGCATTCATCAAATTGGTTAAATGTTGATTTTTAGCCCCAAAACATGAACACTCCCTTGAAGTCCTAAATCTATCATTTACCTCTCTACACTAGGGTTGTCTTCTTTAGTTGTGCAGTTAAAGTATTCATTTTTACTCCAATCCCTGTATCCATTACTTGATATACCACAGCATTCAAAATCCTGCTGAACCAGGTCAATAAGGTTCTAAAAATAAAAATAAAAATATTAAAGGGACTGGAGACGTAACTTCATGTGCCCCTTAGTTTAGTGCCAGTTCTGATTCACAACAGTACCCTTTGAACCTTTGAGTTACAGGGTGTCCCACGAAACATGACAGTTTGTGAATAGTTTTGAATGTCTTCTTCCATATACTGTATTAGATATTATAGACTTTTTGCAGTTTATTAAGTTAAAAAAATCTTTTACTCAAATAAATTTTACTTTGAAATCAATTTTACTATAATATGGCTGGCATGAAAATTTTTACATTATTCCCTTGGGGTTCAAACAACTTAACAAACTATTTTTAAGAAAATGCTAAAAAATGTAAAAACTATTGAAATATTCTACCAGGTTCAATTGAGAAAATGGAGATCTTTTTTTAATTAATATTAATAACATAGCAAACTTAAATTAAAAATTGTTTTTTTTGGAACAATTTTTCTACCTGGAAATCCAAATCGTCCCTGTAGCTCGCAATCAACTTCTCGGAGAGCTCATTTTCAAGAAACTCTTCAGAAAACAAATATCAATAATCAAAAAAAAAAATTTTGAATATATAAAAAGCGAATTTAATGATTTGTTTATTTGCTCGGCGTACCTGTAAGTTTATGCGGATAGATGAAGGCAAGAGCCATGAGGGTCATCTCAGCTGAATAGATAAAGTTTAATCGATAAATCCTTGACTAAAGCTGAGATATGTCGGAAATAATAATTCTCATTATATTATAAAATAATACAAAAATGGATTAAAACAGTGATGAAAGCAAAATAGGCCTGTAATGGAGAAACTAATGATTATTGAAGCCTTCTACCATGTACAAATGATAAAATAGCTACCAACCGTTATCAATTATTCTTGATTATCATGGCGCAGTGCTTAGGATCCGGATCCGTTGGATCCGCAAGATTTTGGCTTCCTGGATCCAGATAAGCAAAAATATGCGGATACACGGATACGGATCCAAGAGGGAAATATCAAATAAAAAGTGCAAAAATACTTTTTTACTCTCAAAACCCAAATCTGAAGTGTTGAAAAAGAAAGATTCCTGATCTCTGAATATTTCAAGTTTTAGCATGAAAATAATCAAAAAAAAGAAGAAAAATAATTTGACAATTCTGCTTTGTTAAACAAATTCAGTAAATATTAAAGAAATGTTCATGGCCTGGACCCGGATCCGCATCCAAATTAAATAGATCATAAGGACGGATCCGCAACATCCACGGGGCAAAATATCGACCAAAAACTGTGAAAAAACTTTTTGATCTCATAATCCAAACTGAACTACTGAAAAATTGCGTTTATTAAAAATTTCCTTATTTTTTAATTGGTTTAGTATAAAAAATAAGCGAAAAAAGAAGAAGAAAAATAATTTGAAAATTCTTCTTCTGTTAAAATAAAATGAGTAGATCTTACAGATTTCAGGACGGATCCGGGATCCGAATCAAATGTAATAAGATATCTCACCCAGAAAGAATATGAGTAAGCAGAATGAGTAGAACTTTAGAAGAAACATATTCTCTCTCAAGGATCCGATACACCCAGCAAAACTCACAATACAAACTGCAACAAAAAATTCTTAATCACTCATTTAAATAATCATTTAGTGACCAGACTTCTTCCGGGGATTAGTAATACAACAGCAAGAAAAATAGGAAAAACTAGAAAATTCAATCGAAAATACAATTGAATATGATGCAAGAGCTGTAACCAAATACCTTATTTTTTTTTATCGAAGCCGATTTCTGGCTGTGTTTTTTAAAAAGAATATTAATACTTATTTTTACTAATATCATAAATTTTCCCTGGATTTGATTTATTTTTTCCTAAAAACCTTTGTATCCCCCAATTTAACGATAAAACTAATTAAGATTAAAAATATTAATTTCTCACCTACACCGCCAATTATGATGAAAAGAAAACCAATATTGAACATGACGTCGTAGATTGTTTTCAAGTTGAACACCTCACCGTTCGACCATTTATCCAAGGTTGCGTAGATTCCAACCTTAATTGATTATGTAATATTTTGTTCATTTTATTGCTAGCTTAGGACAAATTTGAACTAATTTGAAATGAAATCTGAAAAAGAGGCCCCGCTATGAACCCCCAGACCGCCACCAGGCGCAGGAAGCACCGTCCCACCCCTACTCTAACTGGACCTTTATACCCCCAACAATTACTCTATTGTCATAGGATAAAAAGGAGATACATTCCAGCCAGTTGGCTCATCAATTTACTCCATTGGTTGGTTGGTATCAGTCAACCCTTTAGGTAAAGCATAGGCCATAGAGGTTACCCGAATTTAAAGTGCTCCAGCTTTGTCTGGAAATAAAACTTTCCCAATAAACGTCAACCCACGTCACGCAAATAAATCCTAAATATGTCAAATATATTAAGCTAGCTTGGGAACACAACTTTGCCTGGAGTTCTACTTATATAAGTCGACCCACTCAACTTGGAATTTTCAAACCAAGCTAAAAACATTCCCGTGGTTCTCCCAAGTTACCCAAGAAGTTCATGAGTTATGATCGGAAATCCAAAAAACAACACTACTTTATTTCTCCTGTATGATATAACAAGACATTGTTATATGCGTAAAGCCGGCGAAACGGCTGGACCGAATGGGCTGACATTTTTTTAGGGAACCCATGAGTGCCCCTGGAATAACATAGGCTTACAATTCGATTTAAAAAAATCCAAAGGGCAACGACAGGTCCTTCAGCTAGTAATATATATGTAGATGACTAAATGAACAATTTCAACAAAATCACATAATATACAATGTAAAGTTCAGGACAACTTAAAATCATAAATATTTTTTTAAATCAATTTTTTTTTGAAAAGATAGTTAAATTTGATTAAATTACCGCTATGAGAAGAAGTCCGCACATCCAGAAGAGGAAGTTGAAAAAGAACATCGTATACTTGACACACGAGGAGATATAGGTAAACCCTTCAGGAATACGACGTCGCCTGCAATCAATCAATCAATCAATTTATCAATGTATAATGTTATTTAATATATCGATCAATCAATCAATCAATCAATCAATCAATCAATCAATCAACCAACCAACCAACCAACCAACCAACCAATGGAATTTTACACTTTCTAGAATCACCCTATCCCTTGAAGGAACTTTTTCCAAAATGTACGAGTAAAAATTAGTATTTTTGTCTTAAAATACTTCTTTTCAAACATTTACTTTAAAATTATTTATTTTACCCAATTCAACAATAAAACCCCTAAATTTGAAAACTAGATTTTTTGATAAAAAACTCAACTTATTCTAGAATACAAACAAAAAACAAAATACCAACATATTTTTTGAATATTTTACCTTAGAAAAATTCCAAAAAATGAATCTAATGATGAATGAAAGGATTTATCACCTGGAGCTAGATGGAGCCGGGGCTACAGCCCTCTCCCTATACGCCTGTTCTCTAGGTGACATTTTACATCTGTAACAAGGACTAGGTGAAGGATACTTCACAACCTACTGCAGGGCTATATACGATATATATATATATATTTATACATTTTATTCAAGATGGAGGGACAAACAAATATTTTGGGGAAAAATTTAAAGTATAGATTTGTTAAATCTGAATTGTTGTCAAATTTAATAAAAACTAATTTGATGTGGAAATAAATTAACAGGTTTAAACTGGGTTTCAATTTACCAGAAGTTTAATTTTACAACCCCTCCCCCCCCCACACAAAGTATTTCCCCTAGAATTTAGCAGCGTCTGATTCAAGGAATTGAATAAAAATCAATTCCTTGAAAAAGTTTTACTCTACCCCTCACACAGGGAAGGAAAATGGGAAAAATACCCTTGTTATATTATAACTGTATTTTTATGTTAATTCAAATTGGTCTATCTCTGAAAAACATGTCTCCAGAACACATGAACCAGTCCGAGGGGTTCGCGTTCAAAACTTTTGTTTAGTTGATGCCAGGGATAATATTAAGAAGTCCGGCAGCTCCGCGGTTCTTCAAATCCCTCTCCTACAGATTTAACAAATTTTAGATTAATCCAGAGAAGATTATTTTAAAATTTAGATTTTCCTTAAATAGTTAAGTTTTTTTCCCTTCCTCTTTTAAAAATGCAAGAAACGATTCTCTTTAAACCTTTGTCTAAAAACAATGACAGATTTAATGCGTTTTATATCTTATATAGGAAAATTGTCGTTAATTTGCCGTAAAATACCACAATATGCTTTCTAGGAAGATCCTGATTGTAAGTTTCATCAATTTTCTAATGGAAAAATAAAGATATTTCAATTGTACTCCTTGTCAAAGGCTTGTGAATCGTTGATGGCATTCTTTAATTAGACGGTGACTGAAATTCCTTCACAGTCACTTTAAAATATTCTATTTGTTCCTACCTCGTGGAAACTGAGAATTTTCGGAGGTTTGACGATTGGAACCTCCTCCACTGTCTCATATTCATAATAAGAGAATAAATCTCTTGCTTTCAACTAAACATTTTATTAATTAATAGAAGAATAAATCTCTAGTGTTCACCTTTATATTTTATCCATTAATAGGAGAATAAATCTCTAGTTTTCACCTTAATATTTTATCAATTAATAGGAGAATGAATCTCTAGTTTACAGCTTTATATTTTATCAATTAATAGGAGAATGAATCTCTAGTTTACAGCTTTATATTTTATCCATTAATAGAAGAATAAATCTCTAGTTTACAGCTTTATATTTTATCAATTAATAGGAGAATAAATCTCTAGTTTACAGCTTTATATTTTATCCATTAATAGAAGAATAAATCTCTAGTTTACAGCTTTATATTTTATCAATTAATAGGAGAATAAATCTCTAGTTTACAGCTTTGTATTTTATCCATTAATAGGAGAATAAATCTCTAGTTTACAGCTTTGTATTTTATCCATTAATAGGAGAATAAATCTCTAGTTTACAGCTTTATATTTTATCAATTAATAGGAGAATAAATCTCTAGCTTTTAACTGAACATTTTATCTTAAATCAATTAATCAATTTCGTGTAAATTTTACAGATATAAAATAAAACAAGTTCCTTACAGTATGGACAGTTAAAAAAATATATTTTGACTTCAGATAGCTTAAAAGTCGTCTTTTTAGCAGTCATGTTTTAAATCAAATAAAAAAATTGCGGATTTGCTTAAATAAACATTGTCTGGTACTTTCCCAAAGAATTTTTCCTAGGTTTCAACTTCCCAAGGGAATTCTCCCAAGTAACAACTTCCCAAATTTGCAATTTCTCAAGCGACAACCTTCCAAGTCTGCCCTAACCTTAGGGCTCAGCCCTAAACCTGTTTAGCAGCGGCACTCTGCCCATCCGAGCTGCAGCGGTCGGCCCCCGATGCAGCCTGCTGCGCCTCAGAGGGACTAACCTAACCTTTGGAAAGTTGCCGCTTGGGAAATTGCACATTTGGGAAGTTGCCAATTGGAAAATTGTCACTTGGGAAAATGCCTTTGGGAAAGTACCTAACACCTTTTCAGCGTGACCCTTTTTAATTTGCTTAATTTTTTAAACATCCTAATATATAATATACCAACCTCCCATGGCATCCTCTGTTGCAAAGTGCTAAGCTTAACTCCTAGATGAGTTAGATCAGGATATCCTTCACTCTCATCACTGATAGACATCCGTTCTAGAGTATCCAAGCTCTGCTGGTAGAATGCTTCCACTCCACCGAAGGGAGATTTACTCGTCATGTAAGCCTACACAAGTACACATAGATAAATGGATAGATAGATGGATAGATGGATGGATAGATAGATAGATATGTAGATGTAGATAAATAGATATATATGTCGATAGATAGATCGATTTGAAACGATAGTTGGATATATGTTTAAATTCATAAATTGATCAATAAAAAATCAGTAACCATCGCATTATAGTGGATAAAATCAAATTTTACAAATGTCAATAAGAAATTATAGAAAGGACTGACAGTGAACTTGACACAGAATAGATTTGTGAGCTGAACATTTAATTCTATCACTCTTAACCAGACGGTTACAATTTGTTTACTGGCGGTTTAAGACGTCTCAAACTAAGAAAATAAAAAACCGCATAGGAAACGTGCACAATACATAATTAAAAGTAAGAAAATAAAAACTTAAACTAGACAAATTCTTACGAAGTCATTAAAAAAAGTCAATTTACCCAAGTTAGGTAAATTGCCCTTTAAGCATATTTTAACTATGTCTTGTTTAAAGTATCCTTATAAGTATCCTTCCTTTGAAACGTCATTTCAAATATCCATTTAATTAGCCTTTAAGTATCTATTTAGAGTATCTATTTAGAGTATCCTTTTAGAGTATCCTTTTAGAGTATCCTTTTAGAGTATCCTTTTAGAGTATCCTTTAAGAGAATCCTTTTAGAGTATCATTTTAGAGTATCCTTTTTAGAGTATCCTTTTAGAGTATCCTTTTAGAGTATCCGTTTAGAGTATCCTTTTAGAATATCCTTTTAGAGTATTCTTTTTGACTATCTTTTATGACTATCTTTTTTGACTATCTTTTTTGACTATCTTTTATGACTATCTTTTATGACTATCTTTTTGACTATCTTTTTTATATACCTTTTTTAACTACATTTTTTAACTGTCTTTTTAACTGTCTTTTTAACTGTCTTTTTAACTGTATTTTTAACTGTCTGTTTAACTGTCTTTTTAACTGTCTTTTCAACTGTCTTTTCAAATGTCTTTTAAACTGTCTTTTTTAACTGTCTTTTTTAACTGTCTTTTAAAACTATCTTTTTTAATATCTTTTTAAACTATCTTTTTAAACTATCTTCTTAAACTATCTTCTTAAACTATCTTTTTAAACTTTCTTTTTCATACATATTTTTAAATTATCTTTTTAACTATCTTTTTTAACTTTCTTTTTAAACTATCTTTTTAAAAATATCTGTTTTAACTAGCTTTTCTATTTTTCTTTTCTGACGATCTTTTCAACTGTCTTTTCAAATGTCTTTTAAACTGTCTTTTTTAACTGTCTTTTTTAACTGTCTTTTAAAACTATCTTTTTTAATATCTTTTTAAACTATCTTTTTAAACTATCTTCTTAAACTATCTTCTTAAACTATCTTTTTAAACTTTCTTTTTCATACATATTTTTAAATTATCTTTTTAACTATCTTTTTTAACTTTCTTTTTAAACTATCTTTTTAAAAATATCTGTTTTAACTAGCTTTTCTATTTTTCTTTTCTGACGATCTTTTTTATACCAACCTTAATAAAGGCAGTAGGGTCCAGCATCAGTTCTGTAATATGGAAATTCCAGGCTTCAGGAGTTCGGCTTGTACACTCGTACATGTACCGTACAAGTTCATTCTAAATAATAAACGTACACTTGTACCGTACAAGTTTATTCTAAACAATATACGTACACGATGCACAATGTAAAAGTTTATTCTAAATAATAATATGCATTGTATAGTGTACACTCATACACTTACCAGTTACCACCCACTAAACCATATATGTACATTTGTACATATACCTTACAATTTAATTCTAAACAAGACATGTACAGTGTACACTCATACATGTACCGTAGACGAACATTCTAAGCCGTTTATGCACACTCAAAATCCACCTTGCAGCTTCAGAGGTTGTTTACTCTATTGGATAACTCAGGAAGCAATTGGACAGCACAATTATTTTGTAAACAAGCAACCTTTAGTATACAGTGATTGCACAGACTCCGCCATTCTGTCAAGCTCGGGAATAATAATATTTACAATAGAACGGTATGCAAAGTAAAAATAAACATTAACCATCTCTCTTTGGTGCTATTACTAAATTTAGTGCGACCTATAAAACTGTGGAATAGGAAGACGACCGTAAGTCTCAAGTTATGTATTAAAATATTTTTCATGAACACGAAATACAGCAATTGTATTGTAAACTGTACACGACCCGTTTTGTTCAGTTAGTTGATTTTTAACGACATCAAATTACTTTTAAAATTCCTATTCCAGAGTTTTTGTTGGGTCTCACTGTATACTTTATACGAACCATGGTTATCCTCTCCGGACCAACAGCCTCGTATGTTTGACCAATGGCCTCAGGATCATACAACGAATTCATTATTCCTATATTCATCAACAGTAAAATAAAAATTCATCAAAAGATTCAGACCAACAACTGAATAAGGCTCATTTGAATTCCATCAAATATAATTGCTTAAATATTCTCTATAAGTTTGAAAAAAAAATGTTTATATTTCCCCCATTATATATCCCTTTTCAGTGAAAATATTAGAATTAGAATTAGGACGGGTAATTGGTGGGACTAACTATGACTTCCGTGGGCCACGATGGGTTCCCAAGCTAGTTTATAATAAACTGTTTAAATTTAGTTTACTGTGTTCCTGTAACAACATCTGACATATGTACAGGTTGTTTAACTGTATAGTTTCCCTTCAGATACAACGGGATACCATGAAATCCATTCTAAACATATTTTATTAATTCATTAATTTAAATATTTCAATACAGATAATTCTCTTACTCTTTATTTCTATCCCTTGAACTTATGGCCGGTCAGAAGTAATCAATGTTGCTTCAAAATTTGGAATTAAATAAAATAAAATTGGAAATTCGGCAATGAAAATAAGAGAATCTGTTAAATTTTGTATTGGTTTTATTCAGATTGCAGATATTCTAAATCAGCAAAGAATATCTGTGAGCGTTATCATAAAAATATATTTGAATTTTAACAAAGAAGACTATAGAAAACCCATGATCAATAATTAAGAATAAAACTCTGGAAAAAATGGATGTAATAATGTTGAATTACCCTGGTTAGTATGGAGAAAATCCTGTTGATGAAGTTATCCTGCTGTCCGTAAACATCTTTATTGTTATATATTCAATACTATGAATCAATAGGAATGAGGTGAAATCATTTTAAGGGACTAAAGAGAGAATACTCGAATCACAACGGTACCCTTTAAACCTTTGTCTAAGACAAAATGATTAAAATATCCTGGATTTTCTATCTAAAAGTTGATATTTTTAAATGTAGAAGTTCCTGATTTTATGCAAAATTTACAAATTCGTCAGCTTTTAAATCAGAATGAACGACGATATCTTTTCAGATAATGATTTTAAGAATAGAGTCACTATAGTCTCTCTTCATGACTGTATTTGGAGAGTGGTTAAATGTAGAATATTCCTGAACAACGGAAGATAGTTGCATCAGGAAACTGATCCCTGACCGCCAGCTCTCCGGCATACTTGGTCCGCAACCATTCAGATCCACGAGACAGGAAGGCACGCTCAGGTTCAGCTCTGAAAATATAAAAAAAATCAGAATCGAAATCATATTTACAGCGTTACCCACAAAGGATGGGACCGTAAAGACGACCTGAAACTTTTTAAATAAGATAATTCTAAGGTTGAATTAAGACTTCCTTGAAAATAGTCATTTAATGATTTGGCAAAGAATGAAACAAGTTAACATTTGTAGGAAACAATAAATATAAGGAAACAGCCAGTATGAGGTCCGAACAATGGTCTCTGAAGTCTAATCCTTAGTAGGTAACGCCTGTGTGTTGTTGTACTTATGTTACCTATAGCCGGCCAAATCGTAACACTTGGAGAGTAGTAAGAAAAACATGGGTAACATAAATAGGTGACATATCCGTGATCAAACATTTTGATGTCGCGAAGGTCAATTTCTGCCGAGTGTTGGACGGTTTTTAGAGTCTACAAAAAAAATACTTTTAACATACCTGGCGTTAATGGATGACATGTGAACTAGTCGCTGTACTCCCATCTCCTTACAGATTCTAGCAATAGTCTCAGGACCGTTCACGTTCACGTCGGTATACGAGAAGTTGCGAGTCTCCATATCTCGACCTTTAAGAGAATTTAGAACACTCTCTTTAAATAGTGGCAAGTCTAAGTCACAGATAAAGGTTTTAAATTACTCTTGTAAATAGAATCTAATTGAATCAAAACACATTGGGGACTAGTCCCCAAAAGTTAAATTCAAGAAAGTCTGAGATATAAGTAATCTTTTTTACAGGATGATAGTGAATAATAATTACCAATAAGGTTGATGACAATATTGGAGTGCTTGACAGCATTCCTGATAGACTCCTCATCCTTCAGCTCAAAAGGACAGAAAAGGACTTGTCCTAGATCTCCTACTACCTAGATATTTTCATTCATGTGTACAGTGCAGTGCAGTACAGTACAGTACAGTACAGTACAGTACAGTACAGTACAGTACAAGTACAAGTACAAGTACAAGTACAAGTACAAGTACAAGTACAAGTACAAGTACAAGTACAAGTACAAGTACAAGTACAAGTACAGTACAGTACAGTACTTTTATATTTCTTAAAATTATGAAAATTTCACATTTTTAAAAGCAAATCAGTTGCAAAAAAGAAGACGACAATCATTCCAGTGTTTTCTGGTGACCAGTGTACCATTCACTTAACAGTGAAGATTTGTAAGCCTGTAGTGTTTATATTGGTTGGAAAATTCTTATTGTAGGTACATGAAACTAAACACATCATTAACGGATGCACTACTGTACAATGTACAGTTTACATATTACGTACATATTGTCGAATGTATAAAACAAAAAAACAATTTTCTATTTGCAATGTAATATCAACATTTAAAAAAATCACTTCTCATCAATACTGAACAATGAACATTAAACAGCTGTTCTAAAACTGAAATAAAAACAATGCATCCATGGTTAATTGATTTCGGGAATATATATACTTTGGTTAACATTGTTTAGCAACGTTAGCGTATAATTATCATACAGTACAGTACAGTACAGTACAGTACAGTACAGTACAGTACAGTACAGTACAGTACAGTACAGTACAGTACAGTACAGTATAATTATCATATTTGAACCAAAATTACATGGCATAATTTTTCCAGCTCTCACAGCAAGGCTACAAATAAAAGATATAGCTTTTAATTTTAACAAATATGACCCTTAAAAAATAGATTTATGTATGATAATATTATACCTTTAATCGCATCATCTTATAATGATCTCCTCTGTAGGGGAAAATCATCTGAGAGCCGTTTTTTCCCAGACGATTCGCCACTCCCCGGCCGATAAAGCCGTTACCACCGAAAACTGTCACAACATCGCCGGAGAAGGAGGATCGGCCGCCTCGGCCACGCTTCATGGCTGCCAAGTTTATATCACGGGCCTTAACCTGAGTGTAGTAAAACATGAATATAAATATTTTAGAAAATTGCTGAATAACAAATTAACTAAATAACAATTTCGTTTCTTGCCTCTCTCTTTTAATTGTTTCAGGCTGACACCGGTATATTCATTTAGAATGCTCCCCTCAAAAATGATTTTACTACTCTGGGGGAATAATATGAAAAAATTCGACGCAAAAAGGAAAATTTTCATTGACCTTTTTTAACTTTTAAAACAGAAAAAATTATTTAAATAACCCTAAAATTTACTTTTTATATTTTCCCAATAACAGCGAATAAAATTCTAAAAATAAATTTTGTCCAAACATTCCTAAAATTTTGACGAACATTTTTTTTCAAGAGGGGGGAACAAGAAACATCAATTTTTGTAATCATTAATTTGATGCCTGACATCGATGAGCAGGATTGAGCGAGTAACTATGAAGATGGTGACTTAGTTCCAGCAGGCAGCTTCAGCAGAGGAATTCCACTCCTCATGCTTAGTCCGGCCATTTTTCTACAAAAATAAAAATGCTCAGATTAAAAAATGACCCCCCCATTATTTTATTCCTGACCTCTGATGAGTAGGATTGAGCTAGAAACTGTGAAGAAGGTGCCATAGTTCCAGCAGGCAGCTTCAGCAGAGGAATTCCACTCCTCATGCTTAGTCCGGCCATTTTTCTACAAAAATAAAAATGCTCAGATTAAAAAATGAACGAATAGTTTCTAGATCACAGGTTCAAGTGTAAGGATAGAGTTGATATTTAAGGGTTCATCTTGGCTCCAGCTACAGCGAGCCGATCAGCCTGTTCGTTCCCATAGATACCAGAATGTCCCCGCACGTGGGTCCATCTTAGGAGCAATTGACCCTTCGCCATCTCACGATCAAGCGCCTCAAGATCTTCACGATTTTTCACAGGTTTCTTGTCAGCGGTCTGCCAATTGTTACACTTCCAATTCCGCATCCATTTAGTAACACAATTAATAGTGAACTGGCTGTCGGTGTGAATATCAAGTTTAGATATACCAAGACCCCTAGCCTGCGCTATGGCTAGAGTAGCAGCTTGTATTTCTGCCGTATTGTTGGTATGCCGCCCCCCTGTTACCGGGCGACTTAGGTTAGATGGAGAGTTGTCCCCCCACCAGACTCCGACACCAGCTCGAGCTCCAACTTTACCGTTAGCTGTGCAAGCACCGTCTGTGTGCACGACAACAAAACCCTCAGCGTTGGTCACCAGGCCTATACAGTGAAGTATATTTTTTAGATTAAAGCTTGTAAACAAAATTGTTGGAAAAAATCTGTAAAATACAGAGATTTCAGTTTTTGAAAAAATCAATCATAACAGAGTCAATCTTGATGTTATCATATTGTGACATAGTTCGCAGTATAATCTAAGGTTGAGGGTATTGAATCTCCGCAACAAAGTAAAACAATCAATTGTAAATGGAAATGACTCTCTAGGTTCAACTAACTTGAATCATAATTCGGGAGTAAGAAAATAACTTAAATCATCCATTTGGATTGAGGAATGAAAATAAGACTAAGTCAGCGGTAATAATAGANTGAAAAAGCATTGTGTTTGTATGCGACTAAATGCAGAACCTCTAAAACTTAAAACAATAGATTAATTATGATTCAAGAGCAGCGGCCAGGACGAGCACTGCGGCCAGCGAAGGGCCAGGAGGCCGAATGAGGCTACTAGGACACGCCAAAGAACTGTGAACTATGTGTTGAAAATTGGATTAATAGGATACATGTCCAAACTTAAAAGCTGGGGGAGGGGGGACCACGCAACTCAGAAATTGTCAAATTTCATTTTAGGATATTTAAACAAACAAATTAAAATGTGAGAACAAAGGTAATTTCCTAGTGAACGATTTATGTATTGCATGGGAAAATAAATAAAAATGTAATTATATCCGATGTGATATGAGACATATTTTCATTTATTCAACTTATATATTTCATGTCAGAAAGAATGAACTTCCCTGAACCGTTTCTCTCTTCTTTAATCCGTTTAGGTTCTGGTAATGCATCAATAACCTCTAAATTTGATCTTTTGGTGGACTGACTGAGCGACGAAATAATCGTTGATATGGAGGCACTTATTTGTCTGCTTTCTTCTGAAATCGCGTCAACTCGAGCCTGCAGCGCCATTAGCTTGGATATGATTCCTTTATCTCTAGTTCCGTTCATTATAAAATGTCTAATCATAAATATTAAATATGATAAATTAACTTAATCTAAGGATAAACCTTGGCTAGTATTCTTTTTCTGTACTTTTCAGGAGTTGCGGCAATAAGCGCAATCTCCATATTTTTATATTTGGCTTGGATGCTTTATAAATGTCGTATTTGCATGGAAAATCCTATAATGGTGAGGGGGGGAGTTTGCAAATGATTGATCGTTGACTAACGTACATTCGTACTAACGTTCATTCGCACTTGCGACTGAACAATTAATTGTACAATCAAATTAAACTCCACGTGGATGCACTATAGAAATGTTTAAAGTTTTAGTATAAATCTTATTAACAACTTTATGAGTCCATTTACGTTTCTAATCATTACAATCAATAAATAATTCTACATCATTAATAAAATTCTTATGCCCCTACGTCAAAAAAAATTGTTAAAATTTTCCATTACTGCCTATGAGCAACTCTGTGAGGCTCATGTCTGCATATAGCGGAGGTATGAATGGCGTCCGGAGGTTCGAGTTCATCCCTCCCTCCGAATAATCGATACCACATTTTTACACGCCTGGGTTGCATGTGAGATCAGTATGATTTGTACACGGGATTTTCAAATTTGGTCCAAATTTCCTTTAGCTTTAACTCATGTACAGGGTGTCCCACGAAACATGAGAAAAGCTCAAGACGACTTGAAAGTCGTCTTTGATATATGAATTTATTTGTGACATTTAGTCTTCTATCTACTTTAACATGTATGATTCTTGAAACAATTATCACATAATTCTCCTAGCCCTGGCATTTCCAAAAAGTGGTCTGCGTTTTTTGTGCTTTCAATATTACCGGAAATATAAAGAGTTTGGTTCAGATTTCATTTTTGTTAAATAAAATCAAAATTGTCGAAATCTGAACGAAATCCTTTATATGTCGGGCAATATTGAAAGCACAAAAAAGGCAGACCACATTTTGGAAATGGCAGGACTAGGGGAATTTTGTGATTATTATCTCTAGAAATTTACTTCTAAAATTAGGTTGACAAATAAACACAGCAAATTATATCAAAAATCAAGACGACATTCAAGTCCTTTTGCATACTGTCATGTTTCGTGGGACACCCTGTGTAAAAGAAGAAATTGCGAAAATGCTTCTTGGATATCGGGCATAAATATAAGATTCATAAGATACTTTAAAGGTACGCAAATAGTCCAATTTACCTTGCAAATAAAACATGCAGAAAAAAGTTGAAAAAAATCGCCATTTTATTAATTGTTATGTTAGTATATAAACTAGAAAAAGTAAAAGACATTTTTAAAAATGGAAAACCTTTCTTAAACTTGAATTCTATGAGATTAGAAAAAGGAAGAAAATTATTACAGCTTCGTAGTCAGATTCCTCAAATAAAAATATGAAATGAAACATGAAACACAAATGTACATTAGCGATAATTACAATTGAAGAACTATTTCCCTTTACACTAACTTTGAAATGATAGGTTAGTAAAATATTTATTAAATTGACATATCAAATTTTGAAGCGTATATTTCTTAAATACAGCAAGTAGGGGAAAATAAAAGGAACAACGTAATTTCTCTAGTGACCCTTTAAAATTTTAGTGTTGCATACTCGATCCGTAATAGTGACTTGCGGATATATGCTGCAGAGACAAAGAACGAAATTGACGGAATTCGATATATTTCAAATTTTTAAAACTACAATATATTATTGTTGCAAGCTATGGGCGCACACCAGATACTGTTGTGAATCGGTCAAGTAACTATTTTACTGGGGGAAGAGGGTCACTTATAAATACATTGACAGTCCCTTTAAGTAAAGATAACTCTTTCTACACGACAGTTCGTTGTTCTACTCCAAGGGATTCATTGCTTCAATATCAGAATTCTCCTGAAAAATTCAAGATTTAATTTCATCTAGAGTTGGGTATTATTTTATATATTCAACACTTCAAATGGTTCAGCAGATTTTTTAGAAGAAGATCTTCAGTGCTAATTTTCCATGGGAGAATTTTTTACAACGGCTATTTCGTACACTGTACATATTGAGAAGTGACATCTTCCAAAGTGGCATTTTCTCAAGTAGCATTTTCTCAAATGAAAAATTTCCAATTGTACACTTTTCCAATTGGAACTCTAAGGTGTTTAAACAGACAAGAAATTTCTATAGTTTAAATCAGATTAGCAGGTTTGGACTTGAGTTGCTCTTGGCATGGTGCTGCGACTATGATACGCAAGCCATTTGGGAAAAGAATACATAGGAAATTTTACGTTTAGGAAATTGTCACTTAACTCCTATTTCACCTGTATCTCTTCAAGATCATTGATTTCCCAGAAAGAGATTTCCCATTATCTAGGAGGTTATCTTATCGGCTTCCACATATACTACCCCCCTCCCCGCCCCATCCATTACTCTAAATTATCCGTCACTGGAATTAAGTTTTCTAGATCTCGATGGAGTTGTAGGCCTGTAGGGAATATCAATCAATTATTTTAAGAGATGCTACCTGTAAAATATGTTTAGTATCTTGTTTAACTGCTAGTTCTGGTTCTTGTTCTAGTTCTTTATACGCAGCATCAAGATCATCTTCTTCTCTCTTCAGTACTCCTCGCAGCTTCACAGCTTCACGGCACATCCTAGAATAGAGTTTAGTACTAGAGTATTCACTACTCCTGGCAGCTTCACAGCTTCACAGCACATCCTAGAATATAATTTAGTACTACAGTATTTACTACTCCTCATAGCTTCACAGCTTCACGTCACATCCTAGAATAGAGTTTTGTACTAGAGTATTTACTACTCCTGGCAGCTTCAAAGCTTAACTGCACATCCTAGAATAGAGTTTTGTACTAGAATATTTACTACTCCGTATAGCTTCAGAACAAATCCTAGAATAGAATTTAGTACTGGAGTTACTCACAAAAGATAAGACAGGAAAGTCTTTTATTCAGAAGATCTAAAAGTTTATTTAAGTCTTCGATCTTTAACATAGTCTTTACAGNGTACAGTACAGTACAGTACAGTACAGTACAGTACAGTACAGTACAGTACAGTACAGTACAGTACAGTACAGTACAGTACAGTACAGTACAGTACAGTACAGTACAGTACAGTACAGTACAGTACAGTACAGTAAGGTACAGTAAGGTACAGTAAGGTACAGTACAGTAAAGTACAGTACAGTACAGTACAGTACAGTACAGTACAGTAAGGTACAGAAAGGTACAGTAAGGTACATCCGGATCCAGGTCATTTCTTTAAGATTTACTGGGTTTTTTTTAATAATTTTTTTTCTTCATTTTTTTGTTTTTTTTTTCGCTTATTTTTGTCCTAAAACTTGAACCATTCAGAAATGAGGAAATTTAGTAATCTCTCTTTTTTCAAAAATTCAGATTTGAGTTTTAGGAGTAAAATAGTTTTTTTCTTTGCAGTGTTTAGTTGATATTTTACCCCTTGGATCCGGATATTTTTGCGGATCCGGATCCAGGAAGCCAAAATCTTGCGGATCCAACGGATCCGGATCCTAAGCACTGCATTACAGTACAGTACAGCACAGCACAGTACAGTGCAGCACAAGTAAAGTATAAGTACAGTACAGTACAAAACCATTTACAAACTGACAAATATTCAAACCTTCTAATAAACTTCTTGTCTTCTCCTGACAAATTAAACCACTGTGTTTCATCAACCTAAAATCATATTTGATAAAAACATTACCAGAGTTTTGGAACGGATGGTTGTCTATGAACACTGAACAGTAAACAGTTAACACTTGGGGGCGCAGGAAAACGTTAAGAAGATTTACGGCAAATATGTGCTAGTCGGATAATTACTTATTTTTTCCCTCTCAACAATTTTAAGATAAAATTTAAGAATCTCTTAAATTTGAGCCTTACCTTTATGTTCCCCTGTTTTGCCTGTTTAAGGTTTGATACTCCAAGTTTATAACACCTATTTCGTTCTTGTAGAAACCGTCTCCACTCCTTCTCCTCTGCTTCTAGTTTACCAGTGTATTCGCGAATACTTCGAACCTAATACAGTAGGACCCATCATACATGTAAGAAATGTTTTGTGTACATGATGCTGTTTATATCAAATCAAATCAAGAAAAAGTTTTATTAGATAATTGAATCCCGTCTGTTTTAGCAAAATGTTTCAACTGCACAATTGATGTATTACACGTATTTAAAGTCAAACTTGAGTGTGACAGTTGTCTACCTACCTTTATAGATCTTACTCAGGGAACAAGAATAAAGGGAAAGGAAATGGCGCTGGTCCGGCAAGAGAAAGCCAGTCGCACTGCTTTGCAGACTAGTACAGTAAACTTACAAACACTCTTCTGGTACAGACACACAACATGACTACAGTCAAGGAAATTGTAGAACAATGTCGTCGATTATAATTAAACTTGAATAACGAGTAGTTTATTGTAAACTTTAATCAAATTATATTCTTTGCATGAAAATTTGGCTTTACAGTGTTGATTTAAATATGTAAATAATATATTACATGTATATTAAACTTATTTCTAAGTAAACAATTAACAATAAACAAATGTACACTCCTAGGCTGTACAAATACCGAGATTCTTACGTACTGTATAAACCTCCAGTACACACCTTCGGTACTTTAAACTGACACACACTCTTTTGGTACAGACACACACACATGACGTTTCCGCCCCCTGATCTTACTGTACAATATTAATATACAAAAGAATACATTTATTTATGTATTTTAAAAAATACTAGATTGTTAAACTTATCATTGTTATTTCTCAGACAGAACCTTGAGTTCAGTCCTAGGTAGTCCTGGATGTATGAAATTAACTTAACTAACCTTAGAACTTAGTAGTTACACAGACTGAACCTTGAGTTCCTAACTAGAGTTGATAAACTGGATGTATGAAATTAACTTAACTAACCTTAGAACTTAGTAGTTCCTCAGGCTGAACCTTGAGTTCCTAACTAGAGTTGATAAACTGGATGTATGAAATTAACTTACCTAACCTTAGAACTTAGTAGTTACACAGACTGAACCTTGAGTTCCTAACTAGAGTTGATAAACTGGATGTATGAAATTAACTTAACTAACCTTAGAACTTAGTAGTTCCTCAGGCTGAACTTTGAGTTCCTAACTAGAGTTAACAAACTGGATGTAAGAATTTATTCAACTAACCTTAGAACTGAGTAGTTCCTCAGGCTGAACCTTGAGTTCTGTCCTTGAAAGAATATTCACAAACTCTTGAATTTTAGAGTCCGGCAGAATACATTCGTCCACTAGTAATCTGGATACACTACTAGTCTCGTCCACTAGATCGCCTTCGTTCGCTTCTTCGCGTTCTATTGTCCTTGATAAAATAGTTTATGTACTTATTGTTTTCTGAAAAAAGGGATTCCGATTAATGGCATATTTGTAAACATGCTAACACTAACAGATAGGATATTAAGATATATATTTTAAAATAGGAAATAATATCTTTTATTGCCAATGAAAAAATAGAATTTGCTCTGACATTTTTAAGCTATTATTAATGAAATATATATAAATGTTGAACTAGATGAGAGGATTTTCCATTTTTACAGCTTACTGCCCCTTCTTTATTTTTAAGCTTAGACAAAAATAAATGTTCCCAAAGTTCATAATCTAGTGAAATAACAAACAATAATAAATGACTTGCTAGGGTCAGGGGATCATTAGTGTACCTGCATGTATTTCTAACACAAATATTTAAAACTTGTTTAAATCTTTCAAGGTCAGAGGTTTCACCTTTCCCAGGCACCAGGGATAGTTGGTCCTCTAAACCAACAACTTCCTTATTCAAAAAGTTTACATGTTTAAATATTTTAAGGGAAAACAGGAAATGTTTGAGTAGAAATGTTAGGGTAGTGTACACTGTACACTGTATTTTGTAAAAGGAATGAATTCAAGTTGCAAAAAATAATATTTTCTAATACCCATTTGATTAAAAGTCAAATAAGAAGTATTGAATCAAAAGTTCTAGGTTCCTAAGGAGATTCCAACGGCAGCAGTGCTAGCTCGAGACATACGACGCGCAATAGCCACACTCGACCTTAATAGAAAAAAACAGGCATTGAACAAAGAATAACAGACAGAAATAAGAAAACAGACATAAAACAAAACAAACAGAACAAAACAAAAACAAACAGAACAAAACAAAAACAGACAGAACAAAGAAAAACAGACAAAAAACAAGGAAAAACTTTTCCAGGTAGAACAAAGAAACAGAGAAAACAGAATAACAAAAATAAATACAGAGAAAGAAGTTTAAAAAAGAAATAAAAACATTTAACAAAGAAAACCAGGTTAAAGAAAACACTGAATAGAGATGGGAGATACGATAAACGGAAACAGGGATAGAACTAGGAAAAAAGATACCTTCGGTTTGGTTTCCTAACTTTAGGAGAAGGAGGGGAACCACAATCTGACATCTTAGTATTTGTATTTCTCGTATCAGAGGTCGTATCTTCGCTCCTAGCTGTCTCCTCCATCCTCTGGCCTGAGGATGGATCCTCTCCATTATTTACCTCCTCCATCCTTTGGCCTGATGATGGATCCTCTCCATTATTTACCTCCTCTATCCTCAGGCCTGAAGATGGATCCTCTCCATTATTTACTTCCTCCATCCTCTGAAAGAATACGGGAGATTATACATATATTTCAGAACCTCCGATTAAAGATAGGAAATTAGGAAAACTTCCGGGGAAATTAAAAAAACATTCTTTTAAGAATTGGACAGAATGGATTTTTTTGAGTGCGTATCGGAGATTAAATGCTGATGACACATCTAGGATGTTATCTTCTATAGACTCCCTTCTTCGCCGCTCCTGCGCTGGATTTAGCCTTCTTCGCAGCCGATCCTTTTCCATCCTCAGACTTTCTTTTGTTGTTCGCAGGAGTAGGACTTGGTAGAACCTTAAACAAACATTTTCATTAACAATCAATAATCTATACTACTATGGAAAAGAAGACGACATTTCAGCAATCTTGTGTATATTTAATGCAAATACTTTTACCAGTTTCTAGAAAATAAACTTTTTCAGTGAAATGTACACTGCATCTTGCACAATTCCTGTATTTCATGATCAATGGACTATCTAAAATAAAAGCTTCAAATTTGGATCTGAAGGTCGTCTTTCTATTTTACAGTATTTTGAGTTTCACGGAATACATTTTACTTTTTTTTTCAAAGACAACATTTTCAATATCAAAAACTTTCTTTCACTTGCTTAAAAGCTAATTAATAAGTGTATAAAAATCTCCATGGGCTAGAGGATGTCAGGAAATCTTAACCGTAAAATCACGATATCTTAAAAATAAACAAGATCATTAATTTGTCAGGCGGGTCTTGCAAATTACAGGTTAAAAAATCCAATTAAGAAAATGATTTTAATTAATTGACAAAACATTTACTTAAAAGTTCAACTTCAGAATTTTTTCTTCATTATCAGTTTCCATAACGGAATTTAAAGATTCTGGCTTTTTGCGTTACATTGACGTACTGATTGAAAAATTTTCCTCAACTCAAATTGTACCTTGAAGAATGAATCTAATCTGCCCTGTGTTGAACCTTGTCTTCCCTTGAGCAGCTTCTTGGCTCCATTCCTGATCCTCTCCTCCTGGAACCCCTTCTCAACGCACAGGAAGTTTATCAGTCCCTCCTCGTCAGGTTTCTCCCACTTCAGATCAACATCAGCTGCAGGGATCACATCCGGTTCTTTAAACAGACGCCTAGAGTGTTCAATAATCAAACAAACAATCAATAATTCTAAATTCATTTAGACATTCAGTCAATCATTCAATCATTCAATACATGTAAAATTTTTTTTTTTGGCGATTTTACAGCCTTTGAAAAGAGATATTTAGACAGCAAATTGTAAGCAGGGAAAAAAACATAACAATATTAGTAGTACATTTCCACGTTTTCAACCTGAATAACATTAGTTAAAGTTACAACTAGACATGAATATTTAAGATAAACAAATTCAATCAGATACATACTTTTACTGTATGCACTATCTCTAGGTCTCAGCATGGATGCTAGGGGGGAGGGGGGTAATCTGTGGATTTCATATTTGTAGGATAAACAAGTTATCTTCAGATTAAAACAACCACATGTTTTACAATACATTTTCCATTCGTCAATACGAAAATCAACAAATATTTGACCATTCATTTAACAGCTCCATTAGAACATCAATTAACAAATCAGCCATTGAACAAGTCAGCCGAATTGTACGACAAGCACTTCAAGCAAGTTTTTTTTTGTTATTTGCAGTTTCTTACCACTCTATCATGATTAATTTCCTCTACTAATCGGGTGATAAGCCTTTACAGAGAATTTTCGCTAATTTTGCTAGAAAATTAAAAACTGATTATTGACACCATCTCAAAACTGTTTTTTGAACTGTTCTCTCAATGAGATGTTGAAGAATAAGAAAATGTGAGCAGTAATGTGCAAAAATGCACACTAAAGTCTGTACCGTATTGATGAGAATATGAGAAACATGATGACAGCAATATAGACTAGACACATAAATGCAACACTCTATGTACAGTGCACATACCTGGCCTCGTTGTACATCCAGTTATGAGGTACAGGGTATTTAGTTTTATCAATGTTTTCCAGTATTTTCTCGATACACTTGTGTTTCTTTACAAGCTCAATAGCTTTCTTTGGACCTATTCCCTGAAATCAAATTAAATCAGAAGTTTAGACCCGTACTTCTTCCATTGCTGAATCATAATTTTAGGTACGCACTTCTTCCTTATCATAAAGGGACTTTATTAAATGAGATATCAGATGTTTGCAACGGTTCTTGGAATATAAACTAGCTTGATAATAATCAAAATTATTGTTATAATATTAAAAGAAAAACCGTGGAATAATTTTGATTATTCACCTCAGGCTGCGCCTTTAGAAGTTGGGCTTTAGGCTTTTCTTAAAATTTTGAATACAAATGGATTGATGCTGGTTAAATAGGAATTAAGAGAGAATTAGGATAAAAGTTGTATCTTAAACACTGACAAGATAAAAAAAATTGGTGTGGAACAAAATCTGTAAAAAACGTTATAAAATAGCTACAGAAAAACAAAATAATTTCATAATTTCATCTACGGAACAAATCACTGTATTGAAACTATATTTTTCCGATCCATCATTGCAATTTGATGTTTTAAATATATATTTTTTATTTCAAACTATAAATTGTGCTAGATCAATTAGCTTGAAATATAAATCTTTGCTTGCCGTATCAGATTGCAAAAATATGGGAACATATCTTTATTGACGGATTTTCCTACCTTGATTTTGTCAACATAATCACAGCCTAGAAGGATACAGAGATCAATGAACTCCTCCTGGGACATCTCGAACCCTTCCAACACCTTGTCCAGGTAGAACTCCTTGATCGGCATCTTACGCGCCTCACTAAATTAATTATTGGTTAATCATCAATTAAAAAAAGTAACAAATTAATTTGCTTCATTGAGATTTTTAGAAATCATTCGAAGACTGTCAGCGTGATTATAGTTGAACCTCCATTGCAAAGAAGGCAATTTCCAGGGGGGCTGGTGTATGAGGAGGTTTTGTATCTTGAATTTTACTCAGTTTTCTCAGAACAGTTTATTAACGATGAAATATTGATTGCTCTGTAAAAGACTGTAATAGTTTGTCTTCCTGTGAAAATGGAATCCTGCACACGATAAAGAGTTAGTGGATTTTAATAGTTACATGGAAAACAAATCCTCCATTTAAATGTTTTCAGAAATCACCCCCGAGTACTGTAATATCCATATTGACCTTTGGAAGTAAAGTACAGAGCCTGTACAATTAGTAAAGGATTAGCGTGCATCATCACTCTATATACTATAACCTCGTTGACAATTCACGAATTACAACTGATAAAGGTGCCCTTAAAAGCTTTGTCTGATCAAGCATGAATCCATGAATTCCTGTTTTTGTTTCTAGTTTCATTTGTAGTTTTTCTGCTAAAGTTACTTGCTCGTTTCTTGCTTTTAAAAACAAAGGAGAAATTATCAAAATTCAACACTTATTGAGTCAACATTTTTGATCAAATTAACGTTTCAAGAATACCGTTATAATTCGGGCATGATTTTTATTTGATGAAGGGTCACTTAAAATCAAGCTTAATGTCCTTTAGATTAATGAGATTAATCAAATTTAAGATTAGTAGGGTCAGATGGCTGAAATATATCTTATCTGGAGTTTCACTAAATTTTGAAAGAATTTTCACAATTTCCACAGAAGTTTATAGAAGAGCTGTGGACGCATGATAAAGATACTGAGAAAAATAAATGAAACGGAGTGGATAAACTGAGAAAAATAAATGAACCGGAGTGGCTAAACTGAGAAAAATAAATGAAACGGAGTGGCTAAACTGAGAAAAATAAATGAAACGGAGTGGCTAAACTGAGAAAAATAAATGAAACGGAGTGGCTAAACTGAGAAAAATAAAAGCATGAAAAGATAAATCTATGAAAACTACAGAAGACGACATCAAAATATTCTTTAACAACCATGGAAACTACCTGAAGGTTAAATGACGGAGCAGAATATTTGAGCCGAATGTGAGTGTGTCCATATCCTCGGTTCCGGCGGCGTATACTTTTCCTCCCTTGACCAGTTCGGCGCATTGTGCCTCCGCCTCGCATGGAGCCTCCACATATGGGATTCCCATAAACTTCAGTAAAGTCTAAAAAAGAATTCAGGATTAAAATTTATTTTGAAAACGAACTCCTCAGAATAAATATATATACACAGATTGAAATGTTGAATTTTTCCACTTTGAAGAAAATAGATTCATTTGAGTATAAATTAAACGTGAAATGAGCAGACAGGACCTAAAGGTTGCCAAAAGAGAGCCTTCACGTAGTGCAACCAACACAGCAAAGCCTCTCATCAAACTCTTCAGTTTCTGACAAGGAATTAAGAGATCTTTCAGTCCAATGTTTTTTGTAATTAAAGACCAGCTCCCTCCGGCGGGACTGGTCAGAATACTACTGCTGATTGCCGGTATAGAACCCAACCCGGGCCCTATTCCTGGACGAGGATGGATCTGCAGTGTATGTAACCAACAGATAAACGAACGAACACAAACCTCAGTAAAGTGCAACAAATGTAATAACTGGTGCCACCTATGTAAAAATAAAGAAACAAACTGTAGTCAATTTAAATCAATCAGAAATTACTCACTTGTCTTCCAGTGCCCCAAATGCTGTGATAGCTACAACACAACTAATAAACAACCTAATACTACAACAGTCTGTGATAACAACAACACAACTAGTCAACAACCTACTACAACCACTGCTAGTCAACAACCCACTTATCAACAGAGTAAATCCAAAGAAAACAACCAACCAAAGAACTACGATCTGAAATTCTACAACTAAACTGCAACGGAATAAAAAACAAATACACCGAACTAAACCTATGGCTAAAGGAAAACGACATAAAAATAGCAGCAATCCAAGAAACCAAACTCACCAACAAATCAAAGCCTCCTAACTTTCCTAACTATACACTGATAAGAAAAGACAGAGAACGAGATACTGGTGAAGGACTAGCCTTCCTGGTTCATGAAACTATTCCCTTCGAACCCCTTCCAGATGTCCAACTTGACAAATTTACAGAATACCTCGCCATAAAGGTTGACAATATAAAAATTGTAAATATATATATTCCCCCTGCCAGCAGCTGTGATATCGGGTTTTCACCAAATCTAGCCATGCTTTTTACGACAATAATACAATAATCATGGGTGATTTTAATGCCCATGACTCACTATGGTTCTCCCCCATCCAAGACTCCAGAGGTACCCTGATCTCTGATACAATTGGAGCCAGCTCCTTCAGTGTCCTGAACATGGACATGCCTACCAGAACCTCCTGAAACTCACAGCCAACTTCTCCTGAAATATCACTTGCAGGCCCCCCTCTACTTCCATACTGTAACTGGACAACATCTCTAAGCTTAGGATCTGACCATCTACCCATTGTTATAACTTGTACAACGACACTCAAACTCATAATGAGTGAGAACAAAACTTACATAAATTTCAAAAAAGCTGACTGGGTAAACTTCACCCTAACCTCAGAAGAGGAGATTTCTAAACAACCCACCCACAGATGTCTACAGAGCTGAACAAGATCTTAGAGAAGTCATTAACAGAGTATCCAGAAACACAATACCTCAAGGACGAATCAAAGAAATATTCCCTGAAGTCCCAACCACAGTCAAGAACAAGATACTAGAGAGAGATGAACTAAGGAAAACAAACCCACAATCTCAACAGATTCCAGAACTCAACTATGAGATAAGCAAACTAATAAACAAACATAAACAAGAAAAATGGAGAGAAGAAGTAGGAAACATAAATAGGAAAACAGACCCTTCCAAACTTTTCAACCTACTCAAACGCCACAATGGACAACCACAAAGCAAACAGAACCAAGGAATCAGATTCAAAGGGAAGTACCTGTCCAATGCATCAAATATTGCAAATAACTTCAACAAACAATACACATCTGTCTCTAGGCACACCAGCTCCAAACTCACTAGAACCATTTTCAAAGAATCATAAAGGAACACTACATCAGGAGCTACAATAATGACAGCATCTGACACAAGTGAAGCAATAAAACAAGCCAAATCCTCCAAAGCAATAGGACCTGACGGAATATCCAACCTTCATCTTAAACACCTTGGACCACTAGGACTTGAATACCTAACTAACATTTTCAACCTCTCACTTCAGCACAGTAAAATCCCTCAAATATGGAAAAACTAGATCAACATCCCTCTCCTTAAACCAGGAAAAGATCCTGCTGAGTCCAAATCCTATAGACCTGTTTCACTTCTATGCCCGGCAGCTAAAATCTTAGAAAGACTAATCCTACCTGAACTCACAGAACACCTTCCTATCCCGAACTTCCAACATGGTTACAGGAAAAACCACTCTACAGTATCTGCACTCAATGACCTAAATCAAGACATCACCAGAGGTTTTAATCAGAAAAAACCTGCTGACAGAACTGTCCTCCTTCAAATTGACCTATGCAAAGCCTTCGACATGGTATCCCATGACAAACTCCTCAATGACCTTAACAAGTCTACTCTCCCCCCTTTTGTTAAACGCTGGTTAAGCTGCTATCTGAGAGGCAGACAATCTAAGGCTAATTTCAGGAATAAACAGTCTAAATCAAGGAACGTCAGAACAGGCGTTCCTCAAGGAGCGGTAATCTTACCGATCCTCATCAATTTCTATCTCAAAGATCTGCCTTTCCCCCCTCCAGGTATTAAAGAAATCCAATATGCTGATGACATATCCATCTACTCATCAGGGAAATCCATCAACTCAATTAGCATCAGCGACTATGTTGATAAAGTAACAGACTTTCTGGAAGAAAGAGAACTATTAGTCTCTCCAGAAAAATCAACCGTCACTCTCTTCACTCCAGACTCCCATGAAGCCAAAATCCATCCTCAGATCAAGATCAAAAACCTACTCGTTCCTCTAGAAAAACATCCCAGACTCCTTGGAGTAACTTTTGACACCATGCACACCTTCAACCAACACGCCAAACTAACAGCCTCAAAAGCAAGTAAGAAAATAAACATATTAAAATCACTGGCAGGATCCACATAGGGCCAAAGCAAGGAAACGCTAATCCTTACCTACAAATCTATTTGTAGGAGCGTCCTGGAATATGCTGCTCCAGTATGGGCACCAGCTGTAAGCAAATCAAGGTGGTCTGATCTTCAGTCAGTCGAAAACTCAGCCTTGAGAATTGCCACTGGTTCTCTACTCATGACGAATATAGACCACCTACACATTGAAACCAAGGTGCTCCCTCTAGAAATACACAGCAAAATAATAACTAAACAATACCTAGCATCAACCCATCTACCTGATCACCCTGGTAATAAACACCTATACAGACCTCAACCCCCTCGTCAAATGAAACTACAAAAATCCATGAACATCTACAGTCTACACAGAAGAGGTTACACACAGATTCAGAGAACAAAAGCCAACCAAACAAGTTTATAAAAGAGTCCTCAAAGACATACACACAGAAACAGTCAGGAAAACCATTCAACAATACTCTGAGAATCGCGTCCTCGGCCAGGCTTATAACCCCCCTCCTCCGATCAATCCTGATGAAATTAAACTCACAAGAATCGCCAGATCAAGACTCTCCCAACTCAGGAGCGGTTTCTCAAGACTCCTTAATTCCTACCTCAACCGATTAGATGATAAAATTGAAAATAAATGCCCCAAATGTCAAGCCACACCTCACGATACTAACCACCTTTTTAACTGCCATGCAAATCCAACCACCCTCCCCACCACCAGCCTATGAACCCACACTATAGAAGCCTCTAATTTCCTTGGACTGGAAGAACTTGAAGATCCTGACCCAGGATGAAGCTACAACAACAACAACAGGGCCTAAAAGTTTACACTATAACATGTAATTTTTTAAACAATAAATAAAGATATTGCGTTTTTATAGATGGATCAAAAGAACCAAAAATAACCAATGATGGATAATATCGTACAAAGAAGGTAGGTAGATACTAAGGAAGGTAGGAAAATAGGTAGTTAGGCAAGTGGTAGATAGATAGGTAGGTAAGTAGGTAGGTAGGAATGAATGATAGATAATATTTATACCTTGCACTCCTCCACATGTTCTTTCCCAACCTTGACCAGCCTCTTGCTCTGTTTATCCACCTCCTCCATGTTCCCATCCTCCTTGGCCTTGTCCAGGGCTACCTGGGCTTCATCCCTCTTCTCCTTTCTTTTCTCTAGTTCTCCTGCCTAGATGTTTAAACTGTAAATCTAGGGTGTCCCCCCCCCTCTAGTTCTCCTGTCTAAATGTTTAAACTGTAAATCTAGGGTGCTCCCCCCCTCTAGTTCTCCTGTCTAGATGTTTAAACTGTAAATCTAGAGTGCCACCCCCCCCCCCCCGTCTTTTAGGCCAACTATTATTCAAATAGTTAAATACCGGATAGTTCTATAGAAGAATCCCATAAGATGAGAGGTAGTTTCTCCGTCTGCTGAGGTTAACTGTGCTCCTCCTCCTTCCTATACCAAATATCCATATTCATCACTTCAGTATTATCATTATTACTGTTATCATTACTTTATGAAAACCCTCCCCATGGGAGCGCATACTTGTAATTATTTAAAACCAATCAGGTATCAGAAATCCTTTTGCTAGAAAATATTCAGATTTAATTAATCTAATTCATTAAGGACTGTTTAATTTTCTGAAGAAATAATATGGTTTCCTGTCGAATAGCAATCAAGAACTGGTAGAGACTCATGCTGGCGTCTATCGCAACCTTTCTCCCGAAGTAGTTCTTGATCTCGTTCTCCTTGATCGCGCCGGCAGCAACGTCGGCCACCAGTTTCGACAATCCTAGAATTCCCATCCTTGTATTTATTTGTGTCTGAAACCAAAACAATTTTAGCTAAATTCTCTTTTTGTTAAAACTTTCCTAAATTTTCAAATAACATAAAAAACATAGTGAAACATTTTTCTCCTTATAACATAACATCTTGAAAAGAAAGTTTGAAGTATAACATATTTTAAAACAATGATTTAAATAGTTTTACAATCTAAATAATTTATGCAATTGATATTAAAGGGAGTGTTAGCGAATAATAAAATGGGTTGTAGGTTGATACTTAACACATAAATCAATCTTAAGTCTAGATTAAACTTCGCCTAAAATTATTTAACAAATACTGCTGTCAATTTTTAGAATCTATAATCTTTAGATATTTTAAGACTTGCCAATCTTTTTTTATGTAATAAGATATTCACCTTAACCCACTTAATTTTTTTCGCGAAAACTCTCTAAATCGAAATAAAACCCACCAAAGAACTTTTCATATCAAATTATATAACTGCATGTATTTACGGATTTACTTCAACCCTAAAATTTATTCCTTCACAGCTTTTCTGGATTTAGGGAACCTCTGAGTACATTCCGTGCAAGAGAAAGCAAACTCATTTCTTAATATAAGGTTCGAAGAATTACATCTGCTAGATCATGAAGGTTCCGTCCACCACCACCTGGTTGAAGGCACTGAAAGAGTTCTGGTCTGGGTTCTCCTCCTCTACAGGAACCTGGTATTCGAAGACGACCTCCTCCCTGACCTCCTCTACCTCCTGACCAACCCCAGTATCCAACTCTCCAGGTTCAAGATAAACAGCCTGTACAATAGTTTAAATCATATTTATATTTTTCCAATACCCTGGTTATTAAATTGATTTAAACAGCTCTAGAGTTTGACATTTTTGTCAAAAGTTGAAATGAATATTAAAACAAAAACACGAAAATTAACATACGTGAAGAGAAAAGCTACCACAGCGAAAGTAAATGTGTTGTATAAAAAAGAAAAGTTAATATATGTATCCAATGGTTGAAACTTTTGAAGTGTTAATTGAGTCATAAATACTAGACGGTTTTTAGTAGTCTATCGAATTAAGTTAATTTCAAGCAAATCAAAGGCCAACAATGCCAACGAGAAACCGCGAAAATAAAAGTAAAATTAATTAGTCGCTTAAAATATAGTTCCCATAGTGGATGTCAAGTTCTGGCATTGTAGATAAGACCAGTATGCATCCAAACGTTAAGACCTTAAAGAGCTTTGTTTAGATCAAGAAAACCCTACACATAAAGATATTGCCTTCTTCCTTTTCTTCCGTGCGTGCGTCTTGTGTTTGCTCTTCACTAGGGTTCCTTCTTGAAGGATCACGTTCCCAAAGTATTGATTATCGAAGCTCTGATCCTGGTTCCATCGAAGGAAATCGTCCTCAGTTATGCTTTTCCTTTCGAAACTGGGGTCTTCCGAAACCTTAACAAAGAATTATTAGTTTCCAGCTGGCTTCATGTTAAAATTATTTGATATAATTCTTAACGAAATTGTTCAGATATCCGTGATTTAAAAAGTATATCAGTATATACTCCTGCACCTTCCATTCATACTAACATTCTTTATAACATACTCCTTCCATTCATACTAACCTTCTTTATAACATACTCCTTCCATTCATACTAACCTTCTTTTTAGCATACTCCTTCCATGCATACTAACATTCTTTACAACATACTCCTTCCATTCATAGTAATCTTCTTTATAACTTGTCTCCTTCCATTCATACTTACCTTCTTTATAACATACTCCTTCCATTCATACTAACCTTCTTTATAACATACTCCTTCCATTCATACTAACCTTCTTTATAACATACTCCTTCCATGGTATATCAGGGTATACTCCTGCTCCCAACCATTCAAAGAACTCGGTTTCATATCTTCTTAACTCATCTTCATCTGACACCAGACAGAACAAAATAAAGTTTGGGCAAAAAATCGGCAATTGAGCATGTGAGCATTATGGTCCAAAACTCTAAAAATTTATGATTAAAATGGCCTATCCAATTCCTGTCTAAATTCTTTAAAAAACGAAATTATTTAAGATATATGATTGAAAAAAAATGTGTTTATCACGTCATCTGTTGTCCTCGATTTTTCGGTTCATTTTGATCTGCTCTTTCCTAGTTGTGATTTCTCTAGTGGATTTAGTCGGAACAGACGAATACCTTCAGGGTCCGTTAACACCCATTCTTCCACTTTAATCAGAAAATATATTACAGTAAACAGGTAGTGAAAAATAATACCTCCTCCGAGGAAAAGAATTCAATTATGCATGTGATACTTAGTAAAAAGTATAAGTTGTAAAATAAGTGTCTATTTTCTATAGCTTTAGGTTTAATTTTTTAAGAATGAGGTTCTATTTTAACCTTCATAATTTGTGAACATTTAAATGAATTGTACACTTTGAACTCCTTTTCAGGATCAAAGGGACTGACTAATTCATAGGGATCAGGATAGTTTTATTTCCCTTCTATTCTAATCTCTGATCTGTGGTTTTAACATGTTTTGGGACTTAAGGATGAAAAAAAACTATTTTTTAAAAGTATAAAAAAGAGTTCTCCAAAAATTGTAACTATAGAAAATTAAAATATTTGTATTTCTCTCTAAAATTCAAGAAAAGCGTGAAACAAGGAGCGAAGCAGCAAGTATTCATAGTTACTTACTGTCATCCAATGCCAGGAAAAGGTCGGCTAGGTCCGCGTCCTGCTTCAAGGATACGATCTTGTTCATGTAAACCTCCCAGGAGACACGGAGAGCTCCGATCTCAGAGGAGAGCGCAATCTCGAGCTCCTTCAACCCGTTCTTCAAGGACTTGACCCGATTAGTGGCGGAGTTCAAAATAGAGTTCTCGTCGTAGGTGTACACACAGTTAAATGCCTTTAAACCAGACCTTTACAAGATAGATATATTAATATTTAGAATATTTGGCTTCGTTTCATTAGTTGATTTTGCACTTTAAGTAATTTTCAAAAGGGCGAATTAATTTACTTTTGTTAATAAAAAATATGCAGTTCTTTTCATTATAAACAAACCTGAAAGCATGAAAAGTTTCATCATTGCATGCTGCTACAGCACTAATTCTGGTTACGTTGTCGTTATTGTACTTCATGTGCTCACCAACTAAATATAGATTTAATTAGGCTAAGTATAGAATCAAGGATATTAAATTAAAAATTAATTAGATTCAGATTAAAAAAGTGATAGGTGGCAATAAGTGTAAAAAGTAAATACTTACGTAGCGCTACATTATGTTCTGAGTTAGATGTAGAGAGAGCTACAGGTCCAAGGCAAAGCTTTGGTGTCTAAACAAATTTTGCTTTTATATCAAGAAAAAATTTAAAATAAAAAATTGAGAAGAGGTTGCTTGTAATCAAGTTATAAAATGAGGTGAATGTAAAATGTATGTAAAAATTAATTTATTTTTATTGTAAACATGCTAAGTCAAGAGAAGAATCCAGAGGTTTTACATAATCTTGAAAAAGATTAATACTTTTCATTTAAAGCTGACAAGGTTTCAAAACAAAGAAACGAAATTTTACTAAACGGAAAACAAAACAGGAATTTTCTAAAGGCAAAGAAAGTAAATAAAAACTAAATTTTAGCCTTAAAAAATAGTTGCAAAGAAACAGGAATAAAACAAAAGGTCTCCAGGAATATCAAAAGCAGCGTGAAAAAGATTTAATCTTAGAGATATATGGGTGGGGGAGGGGGGGGGGTTTATCTCCCCCGCTCTCTGTTTAGTTTTGACGCCCCTAGATTTTCATTCGAATTCAAAATGAATAAACCTACCCTTCTCTGCCTGTGTACAATGTTTGGTATCTGGAAGGAAGTTATGACTAGGAATGCATTGGTTAGTTTAGGTTCATAAATCTCTATCTCAACAGGACGGGGTGACCACCCGGCATTAACACTTGTCGATCCACCTAGAAGCAAAATTAAAATATTAAGATGCTGACAAAGTACCCCCCCCCCCATTACACAACAAGAAATAAATTGCAGGTAATAAAACAAACTTAGTGAATTTTGCTTCTTATTTTTATTACAAGAAAGTTTAGTACCCCTACACTCTACACCCCTTCCCCAATTTACTGCCTGGGTTAACTGGAAATCCCTTCTTTCCCTTTATGCAGGTTTGAGTGCAATCTTCCTTTGACTGCTATCTGCAGCCCATCTAACTGTTAAAGATTTCTCTTTAAATGTTAGTTTGATTTCATGAAAAAAATATAATTTTGGTCGCAGGTGTTTGCTTAGGTTATTAACTAATCTCCTGTCCTCTCTGTATTATTAAGCCATGATTAGGACTTATACTAATTTGTTGTAATAATGACAGATTATAAAAAGAACCCGGCATGGAACCCCCGGACCATGCGCCCTGGAATCCATAATATATACCTATGAAAGCGTGCAGAAGCTGTGTTGTACTCCTGACCATGAGTATCCCAGATTCATCTTTCTTATTGTACGTCACAGCTTGAGCTGTCTTGTAACAGGAGTCAAAGTAAACTAATCCATCATGGAGAACCTCGTCAAACCCTAGTTCCTGTTCCTCTTCATCAGAATCCTCATCTTCTCCTTCAACAGGTCCAACACTAGATCCCTCATTGAGCACTCCAACAGCCTCGCTCAGTACATCTCCCCCACCCTCAACCGCCGGTATAGACACAACATCTCCTGTTTGGTAGACTACATCTCCTGTTTGATAGACTACGTCCCCTGTTTGGTAGACCACGTCCCCAGTTTGGTAGATAACTTCTCTAGTTTGGTAGATTTCTTCTCTGGTTTGGGTCTGAACCTCTGAAATCTGAAACGCTGGATCTGTGATGTATGATTTCTGATTGTGCGCTGCAATACGATCTTCAAACTCTTTCTTCCGCTTTCTTTTCCGTCCTCTCCCGGCTGCAAATAAACAAATTTTAAAAACATTGTTCACTCAATCTAAATATATATAAATTTATATATTTATTTGTTAGTATCAATAACGGCTAAACCAAAAGGGTAGGATTTAGGGTAGCCCGAATTTGAAAACTTTTGCGTGGAAAAAATGTCGATTTTACGATATTGAAAATACATCAATTTTAAACAAACAACTTTACGAAATTTGTGTATATTGGAATACAACAAAAAAAACGGCTGCTTGGAAAGTCAACATGTAAAAGCCAAAATTGTGTTAGAAGAAAAAATATAATTACTTAATTCACACCACTCAATAGGGAAGTTAAAATTTTCAGAACTTTTAAATTGTCAACAAATGTTAAATACACCATTTCAAACAAAAAAGTCCAAGATAATTTTATATTTATATTAAATAATGATAAGAAAGAGTATGACTTTGGAAGTTAAGAATTAAATTGTTATAATGAGCTAATTTCCTTACTTTTATTGATATTGTTCTTGATAACTGTTGTCTCCGGACGGAATGAATAGGGTTTGTATCGGTTTAGAATTTTCCACCTAAAATAATTCCAAAAATTGTTGTCATAAAAAATAGTTGAATAATCATTTTCTAAACAATTGAGCAACAATTTATATCAGGAATAGTAGAATTTTAAATTGCAACATCTGACCATTTTCATAGGATTACATTAGGTTATAATTCCAAATTTTTTTACAAACTAACATGAAGATTATGATGTGTTTGCTTTTACCTTCCCAATATAGTCTATTTTTTGAGGCATTGGAAATAAAAGCTTGTATGCTGCAAAGATCATGTTACTAGCTACTGTAAAGCTAAAAGCTATAATTTTAGTTTAGAATTCAAATATTCAACTGGGCAATCTAAAAAAGTGACATGGATGGATTGATGGATAAAATGAACCTGTAACAAGCTGTTCTGCCACCTACCAGCTCCATTAAACGAGTCAGTTCAGAACTTTGTCTACAAATATTTTTTTAACGTTTTTAACATCTTCATGGACACTAGACAATTTAAACAAAACCCAGTTATTAGTTAAATATATTTTTATGCATGTATGTTATATATTGTAATTTTTAGTATGTAAATGTATGTAATGTATGCAAATTGCAACTGTATCTATGTATGTATGAATGTGAGGATAATCCACCCCCCTTCCCTCTCGCAACTTCAAAAAATAATTCCAAAAATATCGATGGGTTGCGACATTTTGAACTAGTTTAAGGTGCAAATCAAATATCAGTAGAGTTTTTGTTGATGTAATTTTATCCAAAACACCTTTTTAACGAAGAAAATCACTTACTTTCTATTAATAATCAGAGCTAAAAAACTTGATAAGTATCTTAGTAACTTACTTTAAAGAGAACTCCCGTTTTCCTTGTTTGTTGACTGGATACTCTTGAATAAGATTATCGTCCACCATACAATGCCGGCCAGTGCTTGGCCGTTCAACCCAACTAATCTCAGCCTAAACAGGGGTTACATTAACTATCAGCTCAGCCTGTAACATACATTTAACTGTTAGGGTTATCCCCTCCTTTTGATACGGTTATCCCCTCCTTTTGATACTTCATACACAAAAATTCATGTATTTTCTCTAAAATAATAATTTATTTTCCACAATTAAGCGATTAAACCCTTATTTCTTTTATATGACTAGCATCTGGATGTAGGAACACGACTGTAAGTGGATAGGGGAGGGGAATGATTTTTCAAGATAATATACAGTGTAAATAAAATAAATGTGTTGAAGCTTTTTAGCCTACTAATCATCGTTTTAATTTCCTAAGAAGGGGAGAGTCTACAATGATAATGTTTGCACTAAAATGCCGTTTTTACATTTAAAAGTAGGCCTAATATTCGAAAATGTGTCTGTCTCTTTCCAAAAGATTTTTAAAAATTCAAAAACGATTTTTTTTTGCGTTTTATAAAATGGAATAGAATAAATTCCCTTGAAGAACAACCAATCCAATTCCATGTTACCTGTGTAAATACATCTGGAAGTTGAACCTGATGAATAGGATCCGTTCCAGCATAGCTCTTGGTAAACTTGAAACTCTAGAAATAAGCTCTTGGTAAACTTGAAACTCTAGAAATAAGCTCTTGGTAAACTTGAAACTCTAGAAATAAGCTCTTGGTAAACTTGAAACTCTACAAATAAGCTCTTGGTAAACTTGAAACTCTAGAAATAAACTCTTGGTAAACTTGAAACTCTGGAAAAAAGCTCTTGGTAAACTTGAAACTCTAGAAATAAGCTCTTGATAAAACTTGAAACTCTAGAAATAAGCTCTTGGAAACTTGAAACTCTAGAAATAAGCTCTTGGTAAAAAAATAAGCTCTAGGTAAACTTGAAACTACAGAAAAAACCTTGGTAAAATTGAAACTCTAGAAATAAGAAAACATGGAAAACAGACAAAATACTTTAAAGTTGAAAAATATATAAACGTCTAAACTCCATAGGGAACAGAAAAAAAAACTAAAATAAAGTCGTACAAAGGTACAAATTGGCTCATTTTCAACCTAATAATTGATTTGAAACATTTAAGTATGCAAAAATAAGCAACTACCACTAAGGGCACATCTTTTTAAAACAAAATGTTTTTGTTCTATTTTTGATTGAATCATAAGAAGTATTTCAACTAGACACGGAAAGTTTAACTATATTTCTAGTGTGACCGAGTGTAGTTCATCCAGCCATACCTAGTTCAAATACTTCTTTCTTCTCACTAAGTCCGACCCTTTGAAGACATTGAATTCTAAGAAAATGAAAAAATGTTGAACATACCGTTATCATAACCATGAGTTCGTACTGAACACCTTCGAACTTTCTCCGGAACACAGATGCACGTCCTTCGAACAAACAGGAACCGAGGAACAGTTGAACTGGCCTAAACATTTACGAACTGTTGAATTTTATCTTTTATGAAGGGCGTATACAATACATGATTAAATCTAAATGGGGTAAATTCCCCCGCTTACCCCCCGAGAAGGACTTGAAATGGGGCAAAATTGCTACATTTAAAGAATTTTATAAAAATCAGAAAACAATGGTGCACTACCCATTGTACCCTGTGTAAGCATTCCTTTTAACTACTACTTTTTTGGGAGAGTTAAATAGTGGAGGAAGAAAATATGAATAAAGGAATACGTTGGAGAAACTTACATTTTTATCATAATAATATATTTTTCTGATTTATTTTAAATCCAACTTACTTTTTAGTATATCTCTTGAAGTTCCCTAAGTAAGCCTTCAGATCTGATAAAGCTTTACTCCTGAAAGTCAAAAATATAAATAAACAATTTTTGAATAGGAATATATAAACATTAGGGTGTCACACGAAGAAGTAAAGTAATAAAATCAAAAGGTGAATAGGTTCTCTGGGTGATGTTATTCCTTAGTGTTGAAATGCAAAAACATGCTCTAACTTGATGAACTAAGGTGGAAGTAGTTTTAGGAAAAACTCTGGATTTTTGTTAAGGATAGGGGGGGGGGGCACTTTAACAAGTTGCAACACCAAATTTTGTACAGGCTGCTTTTGGTTCTTAAAATTGAGAAAAAAAGGCTAAAATTTTGCATGCAGCATCTCATTGTAACCCTCTACTCGGATCACTACTGGGATAAAAGTCATTACCCTTCACCAAATATCAAGATTTTGGCGAAACCCCGTTTAAAACGATTTCAACCTGATGCAATGCTCCGATCAACCTAAAATTTTCACAAAAAGCTCATATTGAGCCACATTACTCATAGAACCTATGTACCAAAAAAAATGTTAACCCCAGTTCGTGAGTCACCCTAATGAACATGGATATTGGCTATAGAGGAATATTTAATATTACTACCTGAATATATAAAACTGGATATATTGAGGAATTTTACTAGGAATACACAAATAGATTCTAGTAAGATAGCAATGTAGAATATTTACACTCTCAGTACAGTTGTGTTCTGACGTCACAAGTGTCAATTCAGTTTTTGTGTCCGACAAAACTATTAATTTTGATGACAATTTTAGAGTATAGTGCTTATCTTACAGTAAAATAAGTGCAATTATATGTGATCTTTTTTTTCTGTTTTTCACTTTTAATTTAATCTTGGAAAACATGCAAAAAAAACTTCTTTTTCCGTGTTATATTTGACACTTGTGACGTCGTGTATACTTAATGCATTTCTCTAGTGCCACCTAAAGTACTTGATAACCTATTTGGGAATACATATACCTGGATATATTGAGGAATATTACTAGGAAAACATATACCTGGATATATTGAGGAATATTACTAGGAAAACATATACCTGGATATATTGAGGAATATTACTAGGAAAACATATACCTGGATATAGTGAGGAATATTACTAGGAAAACATATACCTGGATATAGTGAGGAATATTACTAGGAAAACATATACCTGGATATATTGAGGAATATTACTAGGAATGAGTATAGCTAGAAATATTGAGGAATATAGCTAGAAATATATAAACCTGTATTGTATATGTTGAGGAATATTACTAGGAATACATAAATCTGGATATATTGGGGAATATTACTAGTAATACATATACCTGGATATATTGAGGAATATTGCCTGGTTTCTAGGAATACATTTTTGATTAACAAGAATCCTGACTGAGTCTAGGAATGATATCTCTGAAGACTTATAACAAGTCACATGACGTTTATTGTAGGATTCAACATTTGCCATCCTAAATATAAGAAACAATTGTTTTAAAAATATTTTTAAAGCATTATATATTAATTCCTTTAGTTCCTTATATTGGCTGAAACGTAACCTTTACTAATGCGAAAATGACATTGGTTTTTAGCCTTTTTAGGGAAAAAAGTATTTCAAAACTGTTAAATACTTTTTTCACTTCAAATCATTTATTTCCCAGCTTAGCAATTAAAATTCTAAAAAATTTATTTTCAACTAAATATTTTGATGAATTAAAAGGTCATTGTTTAGATTAGATCTGGATAGATTGTAAATCCCGATTTGTCTTGATCAAAGAAAAATCCAGATAAAACCAAGAAACAGTATGCAGGGGTTGCCAACGTGATCCTTAATGACCCTCCATTTTAGGACGCCATCAATGATTCACTTTAGAACTTTCAATAACACTGTCATACCATGCCATGGAAATCATCATGAAGATTTGAGATTTCGTACTTCTTCTAAGCATTTGAATCAAATTTATGGTAGTCGAGACCTTATTAGTAGAGAAATCGTCGATTTCTACAGAATTTGATTTCATCGTTTGCCATGAGAAGATTTCAATCATATTGCTTGTGAATCATTGTTGGCATTCTATAATTACTAAGGCATTTTTATCTTATTCAATGATACTAAATATATTAACCTTATATATTCAATCATTGAATCAAACGAGTTCATCGGAGGCAGGTCTACTATTCCAGGATCTACTGTAGTATTATTCTTCAACCATTGTATCCTACACAAACCCTTTCAATTATTTATTTAGATTTGAAACTATTTAAGTTTTCCTTGCAAAGTAAAGTTTTTTAGATAAATCTTTTTTTAAAAAAGTTTATTTATCCCGCTTAATCGAAAAATAATGCGAATTCGAAACTTTTGTAACATCTTTGTTTAAATTTTTTAGAAGTTTATGTACAGTGCATAATTACCAGGGAAATATTTTACTATTTCACGCTTCTACTTATGTACATTCCTCTTAAAGTTATTTAACATTTGCAGTACAGTACATATTTCACAGAATGCGGTACACTTTCTAGTTTTAAATATTGTTTTAGAGACTGAGTGCGATCATTTTTCTTACTGCGTAAAACGATTTAAATTTTAGATTTTTTGATATTTTTATGTTTTCATTTTTAAAATTTTAATTTACGAAAATGTTTTAAATGGGACATTATGAACCCCTGACTTTATCTTTATCTCATAATTTAGGTCCTGTATGATTCTGTACAAAGAAAAATGGAAATTGTTTTGAAAGAGAAATGTTCCTTAGGGGTTGCTTGTGTTCCATTAACTGTAATTTTACGGGGCAGAACAACGGTTTTCCTGAAAAATTATTTAAATTTATCACGAGATAAGACAAAGTGGTATCCAAGTGAATGTTTTTCGTACATTGTACAAGATAAAAATATTCCTATATTAAATCTATTTTATATATCTCATCGACAGAGCCCAAACAGGAATTGTCTATCTAATTCTTAGAAACCTTTTAGAACTGAAGATTCCAATATGTGTTCAATTTGTTGTTGTAGGGTGACTTTATTGCCCTAAAACTGAGCGAAAAAGTGACTTTTACACCCTGCTATCAAAATTTCAAATTTCAGACCTCATTTTCCCGTTGTAGGGTGATAACGTTACTTTATCGACCGACTATGAAATAAGTTGAGTACAATCGAATAAAACTTTGTAATGGTTAGGTTCTACTTTCGTAGAAGGCCTTAGAAGAATTCTTCATCATCAGCCTATGGACGGGTTACTGCTATACATATACATCCCAGTTCTATTTTGAATTAAGAATCTGGTAAATTATGGATCCAATGAACCAGGCAAGAAAAATTCTCCCAAAAAAACCTTCTTTGAACTATTGGATATAATACCTAAAATGATCATCCTAGGGTAGTGGTGGTTAGTTACCAAGCTAAAAGTTAAAACAATCGAATAAAACTTTACATGTTATTGTAACGAGTATCATGCGTGCGAAAAAAGTTTTTACTGTGATTTTTACTTTTAATAGTTAGTTTAAGATTAAAATTAAAGTAATTTCACACCCCACTACGTTCGGTGTGAAAATGTCTGCATTTTGATCTTATTGACAAACTAGAAACAATACAAATCCCGACAACAACTTTTTCGCACTTAATAATACCCATTGTAAACTCATATTCAATAGTTGTTAGGTATGCTAGCCCCCCCCCCCCCCCTAGAAAAGTGGGCTACTTTCGTTTTTCAAGATTTTTTGTTAACCCCGGGCAGGGATTGAACCCTTTATAAACAAATTCTCATTTACGCGCCTAGTAATGATAATAAATCTTACATATCTGTCGGGGATGGAGAATTAATATCCTTGCCATCCTCCGTCCCTGGAATCCTCTGGAGGAAACTACCCCACCACCCGTTCAAACACTCAGAGAAGGTGTTGGCACAGCAGAACTCCTGGTTCAACAGTAATCCGTTCTCATGGAACAGAGGTGTCATATCCCTTAACAAATATAATAAGAAATGTACAAGGAACAAGAACTATTATAACCGAAAAGGTAACCTGAAAACTGTCTAATAAGATGATTTAAAAAATAACTCGAAAAGGTCTTAGAAACTATAAAGTATCGAAAAAACTAACCTATTTTGTAACTATTTTTTTCAGGATCCTAGAAGCTGACCTAAATTGTAAACTAGAAACTAACCTACAATGTATCCTAGAAAATAAGGTACTTAGTATCCTTAAAAATAACAAACATTGAATCTTAAAAACTAACATAAAGAATACATCAAGATTATTTCATCTCGTTTAAGAATTTCCATTATTACATTTTTTTCCTCATAAGATTATCATATTCTAAAAACTATCTAGATTGTATCTGAGAAATTTAACATACATTATCCAAGAAACTAACCTGAAGGGTATTCTGATAAATGACCTACATTGTATTCAAGAAACTAGCCTAAATTGTATCCTAGAAACTAAACTGCATTGTATCCTAGAAACCAATCTACAGGATATTCTAGAAACGAACCTACAGTGTATCCTAGAAACTAATCTAAAGGGTATCCTAGAAACTAACCTACAGGGTATCCAAGAAACCTACTAGGTATCCTAGAAACTAACTGGATTCCTATTATAAATAGTATAGTAATAGAAACGAACTATCCAGGTGTACCCTAGCATTTTTTCTAAATAGTATCCTAGAAACTAACTAACCAGGTATCCTAGAATGTAACCTACTTAATATTCTAGAAACTAATTTGTATCGTATCCTAGAAACTACCCTTTAAGATTTCTTGAAACTTGCATAAATAAACAGTATCCTAAAAACTATTCTAAATGGTATCCTAATAACTATTCTGAAAAGTATCCTAGAAGCTAACCTGCAAGTTATCCTAGAAAGACACTCCGAGACCAGATCTAGTTCCCTCCGTGCAGCAGGAATGGGTACCGATACAGAACTGGAGCTAAGAGCAGAGTTCTTTGATCCAGGAAGTCGGATTATAACATTACAAACCTCCAGCTCCTTTCCACTCCCGTGCAGATTATAGGTCTTTATTGTGATATCAACGCCGGGCTTGCTTTCAGGGTGGAACAGGAAAACCTGAAGTCAAAACTTTTGTATTTTAAATTTTTTCATAACATGCTCAGTCGGTTCCCCTCCCCCTGACTGTTTAATTTAAGATGTAAGTCACACCTTCTCATCATCATTGGCTCTTGGCGGAATTCCCGAATATCCCCGTCATTTAACTTGTGTATATCATTCAATTTGAAAGTGTTCGATGCGGTTGGGCGATATCCGACACAAGATTTAGCCTCTGTATTCGCAAAAATAAATAAATCTTTTTTTAAATCTTCAAGTTAAAAAAATATTACCTTTTCTATGGATTTCTGGTTGTTGATGAATGAGAATTGTTGAGCAAGAAGAACCCGACCTTTGGCTAGCGGCCCCACATTAGTTCGGAGTACACCCAACAGATTCTAGGTTCATAAATATTAAAAATACTGTCGTTTTAATTTTAGGTGACCCTTGATTAGAACAGAGAGACATACCCGATTCACAATGCTACCTTTCAAACCTCAATCTGATAAATAATGTGGAAGAAAGCGTTGTTCTTCTAGCTTGAAAAGTGTGTATAATTCTAACAATTTCTCCATTCTACTTGAAGCAAGAAATCCGAAAGTCACGTTTGAAAATAGCCAGCTTTTAAAAGAAAGGAAACCATGGATATCTAATTCATACTTGATCAGACAGAGCTTTTAACTTTGTAAATCGGACATGCCATTTTATTAGTGAAGGGTTACTTAAAATTAAGTTTACTTTTTATTTAAAGTACGCAGGGTCGGACCGGAAATGGCCAAGGCCAGAACTTATAAGGTTGTAACTGAGTAAGAAAATCATTTAATTAAAACTCATACCATGGTTCCAAAACTCTGACTGAGCCCATTTAAAATAATCTTTCATGAACAATATTTTAAAGTCGTAATGTTTTTTGGTAATGTTCTTTCTATAAACTCTGAAAATATTTAATGCCTACCTTGAGATACATTTTAGCGCAGTAGTCTTGGTCTATCAGTTCTCCCTCAGAGTCCTTCTCCGGTATCCCGGTGTTGTTGACGAGAACCTTCCTCCTGTTATACTCAGGGTTCACTTCCTCCTCATCCTCCCCCTCCTCCTCCTCATTCTCCAACCTGAAAATGTTAAAAATCTTAATCAAAAATCTTTTTTTTGTATGTTTTGGGGACCCCCGATTTTTTCAGAAAAATATATGAAATATTGAAAAATGTAAAATTGGGCAATAAGTGGCAAGTTTTTTCCACTCTTTCTGAACCTTAATACATATTATTTCACACAAAATTTTAGATTTACCCCAACGAACAAAACTCCGACAAATTTTCTCGTAAGCAAAATAACATGGGGGGG